ACACTAAGGCACCGGGATGAAATAGTCCACCTGAGGTACATCTTTACTTTACATATTCTGGAGTACAGCAGATCTTCCGTACTTCGACGTCTTGATTAGCTCCCGCTCATGTAAACATGAAGTTGGAGAATGCGGCTGGTGCCGTTAATAGCAGCACCGCATTATCTAGAGATCTGCTGACCTGATCGATAAAGGAATATGGGGCAGCTGGAACCGAATGATATGCACCAGTCTTTGCACGGGCTTGGAGTTTAACAAAACTTATGACCCCTTGGAGTCTGGACTCATATAATACCTAATACGTCTTATATACATACACTACCTAGAGCAAGAATCGGAATACCTGGTCGAAACTAGAAAAGACGAGGTTCTGGGGGCTCGCGGGACTCTTCCGGTGATCTCCACGTGTGCTAACCTACATCGATCGTCAGGCCCAAGTAAGCCTAGTGTAGGTAATACCCGCCCTACAATTGTCAATAGGAGAGAACTAATTTCTTCCAGGATCCACTTGACGCGATTCCCGGGTCTCATATTTCATCATAAATGATACCTTCAAGGTCATTGCTTAGGAACAACATACTAACCTAGACAAATATGAGACAGGGACGATAATAGCAGCCCTTTAATGCTTCGGAAACAGGGGCGAGAGAAAATTCTTTAATGATTGGCGTCCCAATGATCTGGGAGAGTGACGGGCATTTTGAGGCACAAGCAGGAGAAAGACGGCAGTCTGTTCGCTATCTTGCCGCATCCATCGATCTCACCCCCTGAAGATCATTCGTGTGCGCTTCGCGCCGCATTTCATACCTCGGTTTATGCCCACGATGATACGACTTAGGTACTGGGTACCGGAACGTCTACATAACGTGAGAATACACGTAAGAATAATCATCTTACTCCTTGTACTAAGCGATATAAAACTTTTCCCTCGCGGTTGACATTACATGCCCGAAATATCTGTCAAGCCCCACCTGGGGAAGACATTTTTGTGGTATCATAAGTTCCAGATTTCTGCATTTGAAGTTGCTTGTTAATATGTATTTCGAGGGTAACCCCTCCCTTCCGACTGTCGCAAACAAGACGGACCGTTCACTAAAAGTGACTGAGCGGGTGGACGGGTAAACAAATCCATCCGGGTGGGCAAACCAGCAGAACATCCTGTCATTTGTCACAAGATGTGATGCTCCCTAAGCCGACAAATATACCCTAACAAGATTATGATAATTCGAGCACCTGAAAGTATTGTCCTCGGTGTTAGCTGATAGATAAGGTCGGAACCATGCCGTCGGTTCATAAGACGAGAACTCGCGGTTCACCCTTTGAGGTTTCGTCGAGGCCAGCGTGAATCTTGATATATCACTTGCGCTGTCGATGCGTTGAAAGGATAGTTCCGCAGTTTCCGCCGCCTGAACCCGAACTATTCTACGTTCCACGACCTGATTGTGCTACACAGTCCAGAAGTCAGAGGCTGACGTACACGAATACGTACAAGTACAACCGATGCGGTGCATAGTTAATCGCATAGACTATCTCGTAGGATTGCAGAGGCAATCCCATGTACAGCTACGGGAGACCAATTGGGGGCAACAAGTCTTAGAATTGTAAGAGCTCGCCCTCCCCAATCTTGTGTGGCAAGGGTTGCAGGATCGGACAGATGACAATGGTTTGACGACTATTTTCGTTCGTCATAGGGGAAAAGAGACTTGGAGGATTTTTGGGGGCAATAAATGCCTGCCCTTCTCGGCCAGCGTGGGGGTTGGCTGATGCTTTGCGACCTTATACTTGTACTTGGAAGACACTACTATACTAGACTCATGATGGGATCAAGGGCCTCTTCGTTTGCGCTCTCGGCCTGCTGTATAACTTGTCTGTCTCGCGACTGAATGTTGCTGGGAAGTTTGGCCGTCTAAGGGAAAGTACTTCAGTCCGTAGGAGTGAATGAGTGAGTGAGTGAGATGGGATTAACGGTTAGCAATAAGAGTGAATCTGCCCCTCATCATTCAATACACTATATTACATATTTTGCAACATGTCGCAACACCAATATGTAGTATCCAGGAATTTTCTACTATAAGTTGGACTTCCGCATTCCGACTAGTTTGAGATGCGGTAAAGGGAGTCCCCTTGAGGATTTAACCCCCTACCGTTTCTCTCCTAACGGTAGGACGAAAGGTTGTTGATTACTGTATTTGAAAATACTCATTTATGCCCTTATGCTCCCACGCCGATCGATAGGAACGTGATTTCTTCTATGGTCATTCTGATCGGATAGATCAGTCCCGCCTGGACTCTGGAGGGGCTACAAGGATACTCTTTATCTGGTAGATCTGTTCACCGTAGACATGGGCATGAGAAGTCGCCGAATCCAACTCGCTAGGTAGCGTAATTTAACGGGAGGGCCTGTCTAGCAAGTTTAGGTATTCTATCCTCAAATTTAGACACGGCAGGGCCGTGTAATTCAGGGATAAGTTCGGTGGTTGCTGCTGCTGGCATTAATATGAAAAGAGCAGGTCTCCGACTCGAGCCTGCAGTAGCGTCAATGCTCGGTGTTTCTTGAATAGTGTCTGTGGGCGAAAGCTTCCATCCATGGAAGTCTTCCATGCGTCTTCGAAATATTCCGACGGCTACTCCCAAGCTCCAAGCCACGCCATAAGGCGTAGGGACACATGAATCCTAGCATGCGATAGAGGTCCCATGTCTTCAGGGCCATTGCGAATGAACACGACTCCACGTGTATTTGATGCACGAGAGGAAACGTAGTGTACCTAATGTTATATAAAGGCAGTAATACCGCATCCGTAAATCATCGTTCTATACATACTAACGTACCTTAACTCTTCACCGAGACCCAACCTCTGGCGTTGTGTACATACTATACTGTATTCCGTATACGCAGTAGGTATTGCAACGTCGGTTCGCCAAGCGGTATGAGCACGAGGTTGCTGCAGCTTGCATGCATATACTCTACATTTCGTGAAAGCTATGTTACCCCCTCCTCCGCATGGAGTCCTATCATATACAGTCGTAGAGACGAATCAAGTTTCGGACTTAAGTACTTAAGATAACTACCTGTCATTTTAGCATCTTCTCTTCGATATAACCGATATGATCTTGTAACATGTGTCTTGGCTATTGGTTTACGTTCCGTCCCGGGACAAGGTGACTCTCGTGGTTGTTAGTCGGTTGATTCCATACTAGGGGATTTATCCGTCCTCGCAGACTGTCTAGGTATATATTAATACTTAACTTACCTTAGGTACCTAGGTATATGATATTGGAGCGTTGCAAAATCTCAAACAGATAATAGAGTAACATATTCAATCATAAGCGTTACCTACCTACGTGTAGCTCATTTCCGTGTAAGTACCTACCTATAAGCAAGCTTAATAACTTAATAATCTTAAAATAACTCTTAAAAATATGTACCTTTAAAGTATGTACCTACTCTCACAGTAATTATCGCATATCCGACACGGAGACCCTGTGAGAAATACAGTACTAATAGGAATATGCGGACTGTCATCTGGCCACTCTCGAAAGAACCCTTGCTCGATTCCTAGTCGACTCCCTCTGACCAAATTTCGCCAGATTTATTTTGTTTTCCTTTCCCTTGGGTCCGGCATATCAACCTGAATGAGCGGTCGGCCGAGACACTCACAAAAATTATTTACCTTGTGCATTTTGTATTGTGCATTGTACATTGTAGTACGAAGTATGGTAGTCGATATGTATTAGTTAGATGTCGAGTCAGCAAAAAATAATACAGTTTGACTTGGGAGGGGAAATTACATAGATTACACACTGAAGCATCTAATCGATAATCCTTCCCCGGCTGCATATATCCTAACTAATATGACATATTTCTTCTGTTCGTAGAAGGTATCGAGATCCGATACGTGATTATAGATGTAGATTTAAATTTTACGGCACATTCGTTAGGCACGCCAGCGGGGTGTCTTCATATCAACGTGCGTGTACGGTAGTATTGCCATTATCGTACTACCGTAAAATACGTTTGTACTACATTCAGATATGCATATTGATGCTATGTTTATACACATACATAAGACATCTACATGTGTACGCAAACAATCGAAAAGGGCATGACTAATGCATCAGCTAATTTACATCTAGAAGTCTAGGACGACAACTTGCGATTGCTCTTGGCAGGCGGGAAATTTTAAAAGGGGTCCAGTTCAAAAGAAGAAAGAGGGGTTTTTTACCTACTTTCCTTACAGACGCTAGGGTCATATACCATTGCTGTATAAGGATTAGCTCAATGTTATTAACCTTCCATAACGGTTACCTAAAGCGTATTACGACTAACTAGGTAGTGATTAATGCTACCTCTATGTACGAGGTACAGAGTACATTAAGTAGGTACTACCTACTTACACTATTACTACCATGAACGGCGGCAGGCGAATGGGGGGAAGATCAGAAAATTGATACGGTGGGAAACGAGCAGACCCCGACTCAGATCTCTAACCTAACTCACTCAGCCTACCAACCTACCCTACCTGCCTACCTACTACCTTACCTTAATTCCGGTCCTGTATGTATTATCGGCTGGGTGTCCAAAACCACACCCCCCCCTTTCGCCGATTAACCACCACAACTTCAACCACCCTCAAAGCAGCTCTGAATCCCATAGGCTGTAACCCAACTCGACCCTCGACATTCAATTGTCTAGGTCTGACTCTCGCTCAGCCTTCAGCTTAGCCTGGGCACACACCCCACGAACCCAGTACTGAGGTGACCCGACTAGCCCTTCTCGTCAGCGAATTGAACTCCTTACCTCACTTTCTTTACCCGCCCAACGAGAAGGTCTTCCACCATTCACATCTTTTCTAACCTTGGTCTACTCCAGCAGCAAGACCCTTAGCGCTTGTAGGCAAATTGAAACGAGAGCAAACAAGTTGCGATTGAGATTGAGAGATTGGGAGGACGGAAAATTCACTGCACCTAAATCTTCTACCTTTGTTTCATTATTTCTACTTCTCTTCTGAGTCTATCGTTCTAAACACGCGATCCTTCTTATCGTAACTGATTCCGACCACGGTAGCGACGACAGCCTCGGTATCAATCAACGCGTGCGTTTCTACTTTGGCCTTCATCTACTCTTAATCGCGAAGCGACTTTTAGCAGGCTACCTCCGCGGATTTGACCCCCCTGGTCTCGTTCGACTTCGCTTCCCCCTTTCCGTATAGGCACGGGCATGATTTAATAACCGTTTTCGAATTCTCTGTAATTACGCTTGGCGCTTCGCACGTCACGATGCTCATGACACAGTCCGCAGTGTCGGCAATAGTAACAAACCAAAAAGATAACACGTACAATTCGCGGAATAGGTCTCGATCTAACACCCTCGATAAGAATCCCGATTCTGCTATTGAGCTTAGGAACCCGGCATCGTTGGATCGTTCCAGCGGTGACCGTGCTTACTCATACAACATGAACGGCATACTAGGTACCGCGCCTCCTGGCACGTTATATGTACGAGCGCTCTACGATTACGAGGCCGATGATCGAACGAGCTTAAGTTTTCACGAGGGCGACATAATTCAGGTCATTACCCAGTTAGAAAGCGGATGGTGGGACGGTGTGATCAACGGGGTCCGCGGTTGGTTTCCAAGTAACTATTGTCAGATCATCGAGAACCCCGAAGAGATTCCCGAGCATATGCAGAATGTTGATGGAGACAATGGAGATGACGAGCTGGAGGACCAGGTAGCATATGACGAAGAGCTTGAGGATGATTTGGAGTCGGATCAAGATGAATTTAACGGGTTGCCCCTCGAAGGCACGAGGACTTCGGGAAAATCTGGCGCCGACTTTTGGATACCTCAAGCTACGCCCGACGGTAGACTATTCTATTATAACACTATGACCGGAGAGAGTAGCATGGAGCTTCCGTTAGAATCGCCAACTTCTTTCAATGAAAATGGGCCGCGGGATCGAATGAACGTAAATATGGTAGAGAAGACGCGGCTACCCCCAGAGGTAATGGCCAGGGGTTTAATGCAGGATGAAGATGAGGACTCGGAAGCAACATCCGCTTCAGAGCTCGAAGGTGAATTGCTCAGTAAAAGCTCTATGAGTTCTTTGGTAAGTACATTCCTATCACATACGTATGTTTATCGCAAACTCACACAGGGTTATGTAGCCTTCGCGACGTCGCGGCTACGACAGCGTCGGGGTCTCTCCTTCGCCATCCATGGACTCCATGAATGGTTCTCAGGGGGGGATACGATCACGGACTGATACCTACATCAACACCAACGTCCCAATGTCTACAGTAGGCGGTTTAGCACCGACATTGGCTTCTGCGACGTCTTTTACTGGCGCTAGTTTTAACCTACCTCAAGCAGCTACGATACCTCGTTCTTTCTTTGACGATGGCACCGCGCAGCCTTTATCGTGGAACCTCCTCATAGCAAATATGAAGCGCGCTATCGACCGCTATCGAGATGCGATCACGAGTAACAATCGGTCAGAATATGTTGCTCGTGCAGAGGATATATCTGATCATTTGCGATTGCTCTTGGCTGCTGGTTCTGGTACCACTGACAACCACTCTGGTCAGCCTTCTATTATTTCGACGAACAAGGCGCTTTATCCTCATTTCCGAGACATGATGTCCAAGTTTTCCAAACTTGTCATCTCTTCTCACATAGCCGCAGCTGATTGGCCGAACGCCGAGTCTGTGCAGAAGTGTATGCAAGAAGCCGATGGTGTACTAGGGGGAGTTTTCAGCTTTGTCGAAGTCGCGAGACAGCAGAGAGGCGAGGAAATCCCGCGATTGTTTCCCGGGTTCGTCATAGGCAGCACCACCGGAGGAAGTTGGCAAAACAATGGACTTGGTCCCCGTGACCCCATTACATCGAATTTCTTGGAGGATGATGAGGGTTATGCCGAGCCGACCGCAAATTTGGACGGGAAACATCTCGAAAGGCTCGATGAATATAAGAGGATGCTAGTTTCTAGCATTAGGGAGCTGGAAAAATACCTCGGTTTATCTGACAAGATAGTGTCACCATATAAGCATGAGCTCATCGGCAACAATGTCTGCATTGCAGGCGCGAAAGTTCTGGAGATGTTCAAGCCTTGGATTGCGATGATTGAGTCTATTGACCTTTCATCTCTAGAAAATACCTTTCAGACGCCCCAACTTGCCGACTTCAGCACCTATAAGCAAAGTCTCTACGACAATATATCCGACCTTATATTAGGATGTCAGGCAGTTGCTGGTCCTTTAGGTGATGAATGGTCTGAGGTTCGCGGCGAGTCATTAGAAGGCAGGCTTGAGTATGTCAAGCAATGCGCAAGGACTCTGGAAACGAATTCTTCCCATATCGGCTTTTCTCTTCAGCTCCTCTCTGAACAGGTTCAATTTAACCTACAGCAGCAGCATGAAGTTCGCATGCAGGAAGACGGCCTACAGAGAGGTCCACCTAGAAGAGATCCGTTATTCTCTTCCAACTCGATGCATATGCGCTCGGACTCGAACTACTTAGCAAATATCAGACCTCCTCTAATAACTTCAGCATCCTATTCCGACGAACCCACCAGTTTCCCCCGGAAGGCCGGTAACATGTCCAAAGCTGCGAAGCTCTTGGGAGAGAATTCTATTGCTGTAACTGCCCAACCAGTTGAGGAAACGCCACCATTCTTACGGCTTGACCTCGAGAATGACTTGTCCTGGGATCTCAAGGCAGCACAGCCAGCAGTCAAGGGTGGCTCATTGTTGGCGTTAGTCGAGCAACTCACAAGACACGACAAGTCTGACTTCAGCTTTAACAACACATTCCTTCTGACATACAGGTCTTTCACTACGGCACGAGAACTGTTCGAACTTTTGGTCAAACGCTTCAATATACAACCGCCAGAGGGATTGAGCAACAATGACTACGACATGTGGAGGGATCGAAAGCAGAAGCTGATCAGATTCCGTGTGGTGAACATTATTAAGAGTTGGTTCGAAAATTTCTGGATGGAGGAGCCGACCGACGAAACGAGGCAACTAATCCGCGACGTGTACGCATTCGCAAGGGACACCGTCAAATCCACAGAGACGCCCGGCGCCAATAATCTCATGGCTGTCTTAGATCAACGACTTAGCGGCAAAGAAATATCATCCAAACGCATGATACAGACATTTAACAACAATGTTCCGCCGCCAATCATGCCTAAGAATATGAAGAAGCTAAAATTCCTCGACATCGACGTTACCGAATTTGCCCGCCAGTTAACAATCATCGAGTCGAAGCTATATGGCAAGATCAAGCCAACAGAATGTCTCAACAAGACATGGCAGAAGAAGGTTGGCGAAAATGAACCGGAACCTGCACCAAATGTGAAAGCACTGATCCTGCACTCTAATCAAATGACAAACTGGGTTGCCGAGATGATTTTGGCTCAGATGGACATTAAGAAGCGAGTAATTGTCATAAAACATTTCGTCTCAGTCGCCGATGTAAGTTTGATACCCAAGTCTAAGTCTTTGCTGTAGTTTGCGATGCTAATGATTTTAGAAATGTCGGAGTCTTAATAACTTTTCCACGTTAACGTCAATCATCTCAGCCCTGGGCACCGCCCCTATTGCTCGCCTAAAGCGAACCTGGGATCAGGTACCAGCCCGAACTCAAGCCGTCCTCGAGACAATGCGACGCCTAATGGCGAGCACGAAGAATTTTGGCGAGTATAGAGAGGCTTTGCATGCCGCAAATCCGCCATGCATTCCTTTCTTTGGTATGCTCTTATACTCGCGTATTCCCTTCCATATATATATGCTAACTCACTTCTAGGCGTATATCTTACTGATCTTACCTTTATTGAGGACGGTATTCCTTCGATTATCAAAAAGACGAATATGATTAATTTCGCCAAGCGTGCGAAAACGGCGGAAGTCATCCGCGACATTCAGCAATACCAGAATGCGCCTTACTCACTTCAGCCCGTTCCAGAACTACAAGATTATATCTTAAGCAATATGCAAGCAGCCGGGGATGTGCATGAGATGTATGACAAGAGTTTAACCGTAGAACCACGTGAGCGTGAAGACGAAAAGATTGTGAGGTATGTCGATGACACAAACCTAGTATGAGTTATGCAGAGGCTTACGTTAATATCACAGGGTACTGGCCGAGTCTGGTTTCCTATGAGCCAGCTTGTCCCATGACAGGCTGTGCTCGGCAAATCCCCGTTTGACCTCTCAAACTGAGCTGTGTATAAAATAGCAGAAAGGCTTTCTCAAGCTACTTAGTTTACGGCATGGGCAAGGGAAGAGCATCTACCACGATGCTTTAGTTTACCTTTCTCGAGGATACATGAACCAATATGTCCGAGATTAAATTTGCGATCTGCTTGAGCACCCTCAAAGCACTTTCGCGTGGACGGGTTTTAAGCTCTAGGGAATCGTGGTCAACGCCAAAAAAAGATTTTGACAAGGCAAAAGGGTTGGTTGGTAAAAGGGGTCCTACATGGGAGCTGGCGAGCTGAGAACGTAATGAGGGGTAAATTACACAGTATCTTGACCTCGCTCTGCTCAACGCCAATCGTGGGATGAATACGGGACCAACATATACACATCTGGGAGTGCCTTCAGGCCGTGCTGAGTGCCCACGGGTAGATCAAGCAGAAGAGCCTATTAGCGGTGAAACTAAAATTGCCGCCGGGGTTTAGATGGCGGAAAACTATCGCAAAGGCAACAGTGACGAAGTATGTGATGACGAGAAACAAACAGAAAAAAGAAAAATACCAGAAGGACATAGGATACCCGTTAAGGAGTACGACGGGAGACCAAAAAAGGCAATCATTCGAGATGGCCCATGGTTTGAGACAAGATGCATCAGTGCCGCATAGGTAGACTTCATTCGCTGTTCAGACAAGTATTTAATCGGTTTCTTTATTTTTCTGTGCGCGGAAGGATGTACTTTACAAGATTCACGGGGAATATAGGGGCCTTTTACAGGGACGGCTTGCATAATGTCGAATCTACAGGCCTATTCAGGCGGTTGTTCTTTTGTTGCGGGCTATATACATAGATGGGTCAGTCGTAAGCGACACTCCCTATTGGGGCATATGGGGACATATGGGACATAAGAGACATAATTTGCATCATAAATTTTATCAAGTTTGCTATTTATGATGTTATTGTTGTTGTTGTTGATACGCTCAAGAGTGTCGATGTTGTCAGCCCCCTTTTTACTCCAGTGTGCTACAACCGGCATATACATGGATCAAGAAAAGTCCAGGTCAGTGAGCGAATAGAGAGTAACAAATTTCATCACATACTTGTACGCGTATTATTTTCTTATTCCCGAGGCTTTAGAGTTCCAGTCTACTCCAGAGGATATCACTTACCTACTCCAACCTGACTTGGTGTCAGCCCAACGCTGATTGATATACGGTTAGAATTGCCTACTCTAGTAGTTGAAGATATCGGCCAGACACGTGTTACCAATAACGTTTCTTTTGACGTCTTTATAATAAACTTGGACCCCCGGACCCCTGAGGCTCAAAGGCCACGCGATATGAGCGTCATGAACTGCTTAGGTTAGGTAGATATATACCTATAGTCGTTCTAGACCGTGGACTGGAACTAAATACAAACTGTATTGGGCTGTACCTAGTACTCGTATATACCTACGGTAGAGGTATGGTAGGTATGAGGTAGGGTACGGAATATTGCGTAGGTAGGTGGATATGTATGTGCAACATCCCGTCGCACAGCGATTCGGCCCGCCAGCGCGGAAGGATTTGGGTATGAGGTGCATTAGAGACGAATCCACCCGCCCGCATTACAGCTGGCTACGTAGGTGGTAGGTAGGTATGTATGTACATAAGCTGCGCGTGGCTACCTGCCGACAGCATAGCACATTGCATTGGGCTGGCTGGTTGGCTGGTTGGATGGCCGGTTTCTTTTTTCTTTTTTTTCTTTTTTTATAAGAGCATTAAGTATGATACGGTAAGGAATATTTTGTGTAGTGGCCCCGTTTCATAAAACAAAAGGTTTAATTTTTGCAAAGTTAAGTTTTGTTTTATATAAAACCCGAGGGTATTTTTAATACTTGACGTATAGTTACTTATATCGCGATGGACAACCCACATCAGATTAACCTAGATTTATGTCCCTCTTTTTTACTTTTTCGGATTTTATTTTACGGTATTATACCTTAAGTAGGTAAGTATATAGCATCTTTATGCGGTTTATATTAACAATTTACTTGACTATACTTTTTTATAACTAACCATCATTCAAATCCTTCACCCAGCTTCTCTCTCCTCGCAATCGCTATCGTTAACTACTACTCTACTCGAGATTATTCCGGCACCCAAACCCAACGTCCTCGTGGTATCCTCCCCCGTTTAGGACACACGACCCGTGCGTGCGTTGAGTAGGTCCCCAACTCCTTCGCATGCAAGCTCCAAACTCCCGCCAGTCGGGCGACTGCGCACTACACCCATTCGCTATGACTTACATGCATACATACCTACCTACCTACATACACTAGGTATGTATGTATACACAGAACCAGATCCAGGCGACCGGTGGGTCTACGGCACGTTTTAAAATGTCTCTAGCTCTGCGATCACCGTATGGGGTGCATAAGGTCGGGTCCGTTCTGTCAATATATAAGGCACACTACGTGATATACCTACCGGTACCTTATATATTACGGAGGAAGTACGAAATACTTGATCTCTCGCATGTGAATGCAAATGCATGTCTCACCGGTCCCGTGCTACCCCAGAAACATATGGTCGACCGCATGCCGAGCCCCCGCGCGATTGGCTGCTATACGCGGGTTGGCTTCCGTGCATGGTATCTATATATAATATAAATAATATAAGTATCGGGATAAAGAGAAGAGGGCGATGGCAGAACACATATCTTACGGCCGCAGCCGCCACCACTCGGTTCTCTTCTTGTTGCTGTTGCTGTTGCTAGCCCCTGAAAGATAGACAGAAAAGGATATTTCGTCTAGAAGACAGAATATAGTATATATAGGTTAGGTACTTGAGGGAATGGAGGATCGAGCTGCGATACCAAGGTTACATGATACCTACCTACCTACCTACCTAAAGTACCTACCTGTTTACTTACCCACGGCGCGGGAGTGGAATGCTTAAAGTAGATGCATAAAGTATACCTAGTACCTAATATACAACCACACCCTCCAATGACACAGACACTCGCACAGAAATGTCTTAGATTTGACGCTCCGTGCCGCGTGGTCGTACGTTACACGTCTACACATCCACACATCCATACCTCATCTATCTAATCTACCTACCTAAGTCGTATCGGGTAGGTAGGTATACCAGAAAAATCTCCCATATCTCGTGAACGGGGGGCGCGGGAACATTTGAGACGAGGGCTTTAGGGTACGGATGGGAGGAGGAGGGGTGTTCGTGATGCGACTCACAAAAGCAAAGTGGGCTTTTCTCACACCTGCGCGCCATATGTATGCCGTGGCCAGGGCGAGCCGCACGCTTGGGATGGATCATCTGGCTGGCTATCCGGGGGCTGGGCTGGGCTGGATTAGGTATTGTACTTTCGCGCGTTTTGGCCCCCCTCTGACGAGCAATATATGCGGTTGCTATGTATGCGTGTTTTGCTTTCCATCTAACTACGTAGTAGACCACTGAATTAGGCTATTTCTTTTCTGGGACGAGGCGGGTTTCTTTAATTGGTCTACCTACCTATCTATATGGCTGCTTCTTAGGTGCCATATATTACTGTAGAGATATACTTTATTAATTATTCGATTGGTGTGTCCTATTCCCAGAAGATGGACATCGGGATTCTCTCTGGGACCTTGGCGTTGGTCTATACATATATTGTTATGTTACTGTGGCATGCATATGTAAGGTGGTTCCCAACTATCTGAGAGTAACACTGGCTGGTAGGTATGTGCGAAGAACGCCGTAAGCTATCTGGCGCATTGGAGGTATCGAGATGTCTCTGGAGAAAGGAGGTGAAGTAACAAAATTAAGTGACTATCTCGATGTTTAATACGTACTCTTTTGTTCTATTTTAGCTCTGATGCTTATGATATGACAACAGCCGTTATGATTTAACGGAATTGCTATGGTGAAGTATCACGACTAACCTGTGCTAAGTTTAGCGATAGGTGGAATGAAATAGTAGACAGGGCACTATGATGAGGTTATGCCTGCGGTCCCTATATTTTAGATAACATATATGATATTGGCCGATCAACGTGGCACATCCTTGATGTTACTAAGACAGTGTTCTCTTCTCAATTAGATCTAGATTAGGCTGTTAGGACTGCAGTAGTTGGCGTATATCTACCTAGATGTACCGTGAACACAGAGACTTGCACAAAATATCTCTACAATCTTGAGATAAATCTTAGAAGCACGCAGGTAGGAGAGCTTCAATATTGGTAGGGTATAGATTATTGAATCTACAGTGAACGATAATCTAGGGGTGGTAAAATAAAGAATAGATGGCAGGCGCCTGGTTTAGGGATTATGTGCCTTTCACTTAGAGACTATTTAGTATTAAGGAATAACTAGGTATTATATTCGTATATATTAGTTCCAAGGACTTTGCACCTGTTACCGTCTTGCCTCGTCCTTCTCCTTCTGGTCCCTCCGCCATCCGTCCACGAACTCCTCCATTTCAACGTGGACACGCAGCCTCTTCTCGCACATCGTATTATACACCGACCTAAGCTCAGAGGAATCCATATCTCTAACCAGCGTGACGAACGCCTCCATGAACACTTCTTTCGACCAGGGACAGCACTGGAGTGCTCGATAGAACACGCTCTTGGCCTTGGCTCTCAGTTCCTTTCTGCCGTGACAGAACCTGATATACGATATCCAGAGACCCGGGTGGTTTCTGCACGTCTCGCTTTCCAAGGCGTGCTCGAATGCTGCCCGCGTAGAGTGCACGTTCCCTGTGCGGGACTCGTATTGAATGGCGAACATGCGGCTGCTGATGCAGTCATGTGGTTCGACGAGAACGACCTCGTCGAGGATTGAACGTACCCTATCGTCTATACTAAGGCGCGCTTCTCTCCATGCGTAAAGGCTGAGGAAGATCGTGTTCTGGGGGAAGAAATTGATGTACTTCGTTAGCTGCTCACGAAGGAACCCGGGTCTGAATGGCCTAAGGGCGAATTAGTCGGTGCGTAGGGACCTTGTATTTAGATGTGATTTACTTACCCTTGGCTAGCATGATAGTAAAGTAAACGAGCAGCAAACTGTAGCAATCTCTCATGATGTGGACTACTCCTAAGATCTCGAGATACCAGCTCATCAGAACAGGTAGAGATACTAGATATTGCGGACCAAATATCCCCTTGGCTTCCGCTAGAGGGTTCCTTATTACTCTGCCGTGTTAAATATTCAAGCAGCGCTAGACCCTCAGCATATATGATGGCATTCTCGGCATCGCCTGACGACAACAAATAGTCTCGGTTCGATGAGAGAAAATGTCTCGTCTTCAGTATCTGGGCCGTGGAAGCTGGCGGGTTTTCCGATATTGATCTCGTAGAAGAGGGGTCATCTGACAATATACATAATTGTAGGGTTGCCTTAACCAAGTTGCAATCTTCAAGCTCCATCCATGCGGCAGCAATGTTCAAGGAGAGCTTGCTATGAACTGTTATGGCTGGCAAGCTCATCGCAGCAGGGATCGTAATGCGAACGATATCCTTGTTGCCTTTTTTCCATTCGAGTATACAGTAACCCAAGTATAAGTCGACGTTTGTAGAATCTTGTTTCAGGAGTGCTTTTGCCGTTTTCTTTTCATGCCCGGGCTCGTTCATCGATTCAAAGGCGAGATAATATGGGCCTAGCTCACATATGCCAAATGTACGAACGAGCTGCTTTAATGTAGTCGAAATCCACATGTATTGATCCGTGGGAACGTCACCTCGAATTTTCTTCATACTTCTAAACCAATTAGGTACCGGAAAGAGAACCTCTGGTGTGATTTGCATTCGCTCGTAGTCATGTGAGAACTCCGGCGGTCTTTTGTTTTGCTCCTCAGTATTTATAATCAGATTAGACGAGCTCTCTACGGTGATTGGGTCCGCTGGACTACGAACGAGAAAACTATCCTGAAGCATATCCCGGACAATTTCGCTAGAAGCGAACGCTGGAGGTAGTTGGCAGAATATTAAAAATGCATCTAGCAGTTGACGTTGAAGACTAGGAATGGCCTCGTTCGGAAGATGTAAGAGTATATCCTGGATATCTGCGTACATGACGACACGGAATGGATCGTCCTCTTCTCCAACATCCATAGTACGAGCGGGATTTGCCGCCACCCGAGCTCGGTGTTGCTCCATGATTGACCAAGCTTTATAGCCATCCCGAGTACTTGGAGATACAAACTCATCTGGAGTTTTGGGGGGCTCGGGAAGTTCCGGTTCTCGGTCGCCTTGTTCGAAAGTCATCCACCCCAAAGCCCCATCCTCTCCTATCCGCGGTACCTCGCTTTCCCAAAAATCCAGGAAGCCAGATGGCGGAGCAATAGATATTTTCTCGGGAAAATTGGGTGGGCGCGCAAATGTTAATTCTAAGGCGGCCTGCCATGCTGCTATGCCAAGTTCTTTATACCCGGAATCTGCGATGAAACGTGTAGCTCTTAAGAAGACATATATCATTTGTTCGTAGATTCGAAAGACTCGAAGGTTTCGAAATTTTTTCGACTCGTCTTGTTTTATCAAAGCCTCCCTCGCTAACCGGTTCAAACGATTGGCATAGTGTTGTAGGAGTTCCTCATATTGAAATGTCGATAATCTTGTTTGCCGGAAGTTTGTATACTCTTTCCACAATTCAAAACTGGCCCCGTGCTCCTTTAGAGCCGATTCCCATCGTTTTGACATAGTTATGCTGTCCCATATCTTCGAACCTTCTTGCATGATTCTTAACTGTAGCCTCTCTCGCTGCGAGTCAGTGGTCGCATGAGAGTAGGCTTGCTCGAGCAAGGACAGTTTAATATCAGCAAAACTCTTAATCTCTGCTGCGGTGGGATGGCGACTGTCTTGCCCACTTATTCGCAGAAGAGTATCTTGATGTTTGACAAGCTCTAGCCAAGCATCAACGTCTTGCGGATGGTCACGGACTCTCCTAGACAGCTCAATCGTCTTTAAGCTCGTGGGCTCATCCGCACCTCGGTCCCTTGCGCCTGTAGATGTCTCACTGTCGTAGTCAACATCACTATCGGAATGCTCATGGCTTTTGCTTTTGCCATGAATTGACCTATAGGCTTGTCCTTCGTCGCTCGACGAATCTCCTGGTTCGGATCCATCCCGCTTTCGCTTTCTTGATGTCTTTAGGGATACAAAATCCTCTGAACCGGCCACAGTTTGGGACTGTTCTTGTCGAACCCTAATAGCCTGCGATTTAAAATGACCGCCCTTGGCTAGAAGGCTCTTCCTATCACTACCGAGTAGGGAACCGCTTTCACGGAAGCCTAGAAGAAAGAACTCATCACGGCTACCTGTATGGTCAATTCTCATGTAGCCATTGGCCCCTAAGATACGGCCGGACCCAAAACGGCGGTAGTTAGGGACATCACGGCGATCGTTACCGCCATATCTCCGAATCAAGGAGTCGCCTCGCTTATCGTATACGAAGAAAGTGTCTCTATCTTGTTCTTGTGAGGAAGGTCGCTGTGAGAGCTTATGATGACGGGCCTTCTCCGTATGACGTGATATAACTCCTGAAGAATCTTGGTGTTCGCGCCTTGAGATAGAAAGCGTACCGCGTTGTTTTAGTTCCTCAAGGTTGGTCTTGGTCTCATTTTGGGGTTGAGGCTTCTCAAGTGGAGGCTTAAATGAGGAAAACTTGGGCACGGTGGATGGTTTATCCTGTTTCGATGACATGATGGAGAAGTATATCTTACGGTATACTCATTCTGTTTGCACGTTTGGTGCAATAACGCAATCTTCCGCTCTGTGCCCCCCACATGCAGACTACTCAAGGATGCTATGCCGTTGACCATTCAGGGCGGGTATGCTAGATGGATCTACCTAGCTGCTAGGTTACCCTTGAGACTGAATCTCCTTGGGACCGAATATTTACCATATGTTAGATATCAAGTGAGTACTCCATATTAGAGCTTATCAAGCACTACAGCGTCAAATCCCAATGGTACCTACTAGGGCCTCTCCGGAAGCCGTATTCAGTAGTAATAGTTGAGATGAGTAATGCCCGACTTTTAGGAGGGTTATTATTCAAGATGGTTGGAAGTTTGGAAAAGGTTGTTCGGATGAAGTTGAATGGTGGCTTCATGTCGTGGCTTATGGCTAATAGATGCATGCAGAAAACACGTTTTGTGGACCTTGGTGATGTAATCTCTCACCTAAGGGACCTAAGTTTATTGGTCCTTTCATTAGCCGGGAATTTAGGGGATTTCTTTAGCTGCTGTTTCACACAGTTACAGCGGACTGTTACACCAACGATTATAGTTAAGCATCGCCTGTACTTTGCAGATCTCCTCCATACAGGTACCTACCCCTACCTACCTACACCTACCTAGGTACCTCCTAACGATGAGATAGTTCCACGTGCTTTCGGTTTCTCCAATGCGAACGAGCAATTAATGGATGGAGAAGCTTCCAAAACTGCAAGGCAGGTCCTTGTATTTGATCACACACCATCTCCGATCCCCCCACTAACATCTCCTTCTGACCTTTACTAGTAGCATACCATTACACTACGGCAGTACGGTAACTTCCAGATACTACGGTTTACTAGAAAGCGAAACTTGCTCTTCATTGGCTTGTCTGTCCTTGGCGAATCTGCAGAAAGACAGAAAGGCAAGAAAGAGCGAAATTGTATGACAATGAGGTGGAAGATAAGATAGTTCTTACTCGGTAGGTTACTCGGTAGGAGCGGAATTATTAGTTGCTGACGCTCTCGACGCCCCTCAGTGTTATTAGGTTAGGTATGTTAGAGGTATGTTAGGTAGGTGGTGTATACCCGTAACCAGGGTATGGGGACATACTACGCTATTAACAGTATCAACTATCGACTATCAACTAACTATCAACTATCACACAATACAACTTCCAACTTGGCAATTCCACTCGAACTTACTTACCCAACTTACCCAACTTGTCCGGTTTCATCTAAACCATCGTCCCTCTACTTGCTCACTATGAATTCACTATGAATTGTGCTCCATTCAAATCACCCTATAACCTCCGCGCGTAATCCTTGCTGAATACTTCACGCGCCTCATGTTGCTCCAGCTCAAGACGTAGTTCCCTGAGCTAGCTACTATCCACCTCCGATATCCTACACCACGTTGTACTACCTTTTACTACCTAAGGCTCTAACGCGCTCCTATTGCTTCGATACGCCATACTAGGCATGAGTACGTACGATACCTTACATCCCTCGCAGGACTCCTACGGGTCGGTTCCTACTTCTCCTACACATCACCGCCAGCATTCGAGAAGATCCAGGCCACCTTCGATATCGATAGACGAAGCCCCCGACGAAAATACCGCCCTCCTGCGATCCTCACGCTCTCGAGTGCGCATTCATAGTCCCGCTCTATCAAGGGCTCATAGCTTTGCCGGTTTGTTTACTGAAGCATCCCTCTCATCGAAAGTCGTTGCGTACTGATTTAATCCCTCTCTATATTAGCAACACCTCATGGGGCGCGATATCATAACCGGCATGAATCATGGGGACAGCGGCTAATACAAGCGCTTTCGGATCGGACCGATCCCATGTCCGAATCTAAGAGTTCTCTTCTTGCTGACGAACGTATCTGGTATGATCAATTTACTTCGACCGACTGGGTCCGCGATAGTATCGCCGATTCCTACCGAGTTAAACAGTTGCGGGGGAGAAAAGGCTTTTGGGGTAGACTCGTCGTCTTATTTGATGGCGCCCAAGGCTGGATACTGAGTGCTCTTGTTGGCGTTCTAGTCGCGCTAGTTGCTTATTGCGTGGATGTGGCTGAGACAACTATCTTTGACTACAAGGATGGCTATTGCGCGCGAGCATGGTATTTAAGAGAAAAGGTAACGACTACTCAGCCCTATATATACATTATTATTATTATTTTTACGATGGCGTCTTGTTTAGCTGAATGTGCGGGGAGCTGACAATGCGAACAGAGGTGTTGTCCCCACGGTCCATGTACCGATTGGCGATCTTGGTCCGAAGTTCTTGGAGGCCATCCCTTCGGCGAGGTTTGGACTCAATTTGGAATTTACGTCATCGCCGTCCTGTTACTCGCGGTGCTCTCATGTCTGCTCACCTTAACGACTAAGACGGTGGTTCCTTCAGCCTACCGAATGTCAACACTAGATGAGAACTTAGCTGCTGATTATTATCAGCAACAGGAAGATAACCATAACCATAACGATGAGAACGGAAGTATTAGTCCTAGGGCGGTACGGCCACCGCAAGCCGACCCGCCACCACCCATGGTGTACTATTCCGCAGCTGGCAGTGGCGTCGCCGAAGTTCGTGTCATTCTTAGCGGATTCGTTTTGCATGGCTTTCTCGGTTTCAAGACTCTCGTCGTCAAATCTGTGGGATTGATCTTGAGTGTGGCCTCTGGCCTAAGCTTAGGTAAAGAAGGTCCCTACGTCCATATTGCGGCTTGTATTGGCAATATTTGCTGTCGAATTTTCTCTAAGTACGATCATAACGACGGTAAGAGGCGCGAAGTATTATCTGCTGCAGCCGCGGCAGGTATAGTTGTTGCGTTTGGAGCTCCTCTCGGTGGCGTTCTATTCGGTCTCGAGGAGGTTGCCTATTACTTCCCAGCCAAGACGCTTTTTCGTACCTTCTTTTGCTGTATTGTCGCAGCTCTGTCCTTGAAGTTTCTTAACCCGTATGGCACTCACAAGATCGTCATGTTCGAAATCCGGTACAAAATCGACTGGGAGTGGTTTGAATTATTCGGCTTCATCTTAGTAGGAATTCTAGGCGGTGCTATCGGTGCTTTTTTTATCAAGGCTTCGCGTCGTTGGGCTCTATCCTTCCGTAAGATTCCAGTCATCAAGAAATACCCACTGTTCGAAGTTGTGCTGGTGGCGCTGGTAACAGGACTCATAGGATATTGGAACACCTTAACTAAGCTTCCGGTAGCGAAGCTCTTGCTGAATCTTGCTGCACCGTGCCAAGACGACAGCAGGGATTCTGAGTTAGGGCTATGTCCATCGAATATTGATGATATACCCGGGATTATTCGAAACATCCTTGCCGCTTTTATCATCAAGACGTTTTTGACAACCATCACGTTTGGTATTAAGGTTCCTGCCGGTATCTATGTCCCTTCTATGGTTATCGGTGGCCTCATGGGGAGGGTTGTAGGTCATCTTGTTCAATGGATAGTACTTCGGTTTCCACACTGGAGTATCTGGGGGACCTGCCCGCTTCTTCAAGAGTCTACGTGTGTTCAGCCCGGCGTGTATGCGCTCATTGCTGCGGGTTCAACAATGTGTGGCGTAACGAGACTATCCGTCACCCTCGCGGTCATCCTCTTCGAACTTACCGGAAGCTTGGACTACGTCCTGCCTTTCTCCTTAGCTATTCTCGTCGCTAAATGGACAGCGGATGCCCTGGAGCCGCTCAGTATCTACGACCTCCTTACTAACATGAATGCTTATCCATATCTGGATAACAAACATAAACCGGTCTTCACCTCTGAGTTCGCTGCTATAGTCCCCCGCGTTCGCCGGGAACGTGTCATTGACATAAGTGACTCACCGCTAGTCCCGGCCACACAACTCCGTGACCAACTCGAACTGCTTCATCTGGCCGGTGAGTTGGACGGAGGATTACCAATTGTTAGGGATGACATCCTTGTCGGCCTGATCCCGGCCCCTGACTTGGAATATGCCCTGGATAACCTCGATGACGAGAGCTCCAGCCTCTGTCTCATGGCGAATATACCAAGCATCGACGAAAATGAGTCTCCAGAGCGGGATCCTACCGATTTCACCCCCTACATAGACCCAGCTCCCTTTGCTCTAGATATTAATTCCCCCATGGACTTGGTGTACGAATGCTTTGCGAAGCTCGGCTTGCGATATATCTGCGCGTTAAGAGACGGATGCTATGCCGGAATGGTAAGTCTCTATGTCCATCACTATCTTGATAATATTAAATGCTGACCGGCACAGACTCACAAGAAGAGATTTGTGAAGTATATGCGCGAATTGGAGGAGAGGGAGTACAGTCACTATTAATTTGGGGACCATAGTTTCTTGGGAGTAATAGGTATATATCGCAGCGACACTACTTGAGGAGAGGGTATATAGGGGGTTACATTATCGCATCGTCATGGAATTATGACAGAATCTTTTCCTTTCGGCATTGTTGCATGAGCCTAGCGTTTGGAATGAATGGCATCGTCTCATTTTTTGATCAAAAATTTTTTTTTTTTTGATAATGCCGAAGGTACTTTGAACGTTTTTATGAACGGGTACGTGAAGTCTGCTATGTGACTAGAGTCGGAAGCTATACGAGATTTTATATGATGCTGCCCTTGGAAGGTATGTAGGTAGGTAGATATGCTAAAGTTTGGTTATGGCTTGGTTTGCCTAACGGTGAGTTAAAGCTCTTATAGAATTAATGGTCCCCATCTATTTGTTATAATATTTTCTATAGCTGCTTATGCCAAATACGACATTTCGAAAGAACCTCGCTGTCTACCCAAACGGCATTATTTATCTTAGCTATACCCCCCCGAGCCAGCCACATTGGAAACCGCATATATTTCTCGCCTCATCTTGACTTATACCTTAGGTAAGGATTCTGACCTGTGTCATCTATTAAACGTAATTCTTGGTAGCTGACGCGGAAGTCACGTGTCGCGAAGAGGAAGGGTATGAACAGTATATATGCGTTAGGTATGTAATCTTATATTGTATGTACATCATCCATAAATCAACTTCGAACCCGGATATCATAAAGTCAAGTAGATGTCTTAAATACAACCCAACCACTGGAAACCGCCTTGCCTGCAGATAGAAATGATAAGATTCCATAACAACATTTAGGGTATATAAAAGGGGGTATTGTAGAATCTGTAAATATTTACATTAGTATTCCAATCCGCTAATACATCGTCGCGTCTAGTCCGCACCATCTAGGATTACATTGTTGGTTCCAAGAACTTCTATCATACAACCCTTCGATTTTCGTTTTCGTGTTGCTAGTAAATTAACCAACCCAGCACGTAAAAGAGATTTTAGTTGCCTCCGTCGAGTTCAGAACGGCGGGTTCCGTCAAGTTCAACCCTCTCGGGTCTTTCGGGGTGGTAGTACTGGTACTGAGGGGGATATCCGCCACTTTCCAGTTCCACGGGGTACAACGGCGGTTTCTGCTGCGTTGAAAGTTGCGTCACCTCTGGCATCTCTGGCAGATCGTCGTTGTGATTAGGGCCCGTAGCAGCGGCGGCGGCTGCGGGCGTTTGGTAATTGTTACTATTCCTCCTCCGTCTCCTCCACAAAAAGAAGCCGCCTGCCACAAGGGCGATGACTGCAAAGGCGGCGCCGACACCGATACCAGCTGAAGCACCGGCACTTAAGCCATCGTCGGGGTTTGCCGTTGGTGACACCACAGCGGGTGATGAGGTGGTACTTTGAGTGGCGCTGCTGGATGGCGGACTAATAGTACTAGATGAACCAGAGGCACTAGTGCTAGATGAAGACGTGGTCGTACTAGCGGGCGCTCTTGTGATGTTAAAGTAACGCGAGGTGACGGACAGCGGGTTCGGGTCATCCGATTGTAAAGGGGACAGCCAAAGGAAAAATACGTCGAAATCCGATAAGTCAAACTCGAATGCCTGGACCGACCAGTCAAATTGAGTTACGGCACCAGACCGCGTCTCTGCTCAAGTCAGTCGTCACATGTTAGAAAAGGTTTTATTATGATATTTTCCTTACGAAATATGCTTGGTCCAGCTGTTGCAGAGCCACCCTGCAGCGACTGGAGTTAGCGATCATGCTTAACTACAAGAGATTTTTATAGATTTGAGACACGATTCAGGAAGAACTCGTCAATAAGCTTGGTTAGGAAGTTTACTATGTATGTACTTCTAACATGGGCCGAGACAGGAAACAGAAATGGGCCTTAACGTCGTGACTTACATCTCGGCTCTCTTGCCATAGATCAATGGTGTAATTCGAATATGTAGTAGTGTACTTGATGGTTTGGATCTCGCCCAGCGTCCAAACCGGGTTTGTCGAATAATCGGTTGGCCCGTCGAGAGCATTGGGAGGGTTGAAGAACTTGCCGACCTTGAGCGACTCTTGCTGCGCTCGTACGGTCGAGGTAGCGAACGCCGCTACGAAGGTGACGAGCGATGATAGTTTAATCATCTTTCTAGAGCCAAAGGGGGGAGGTTCGCGATGTTGACCCTTATAAACCCATAGCTTTTACGGTGTGGGATAAACAGAAGAAATTCCTACCTATCCCAGAGATCAGGGAGAGACGAACGAAGACGGGAGTTACTTGGGAGCGGAATGCCCACAAGCTTTTGTCAGCAAAAGGTCCAGGCTTGGGTGGGAAGGGTAGGTATGCGGGTAGCAGCAGGGAGAACATTATTCTGTAATCCGTAGGGCTTCGAGAACTCCGGCCACGTTCCTCATGGGTTAAAACATGTGCCGCAGTACTACATATGTAGAGAAGAAAAGTAATTTTGAAACGTGGAACTGAATCCTGGCGGCTATGTTGTAAATACTACTACCTAGTAGTAAATACATACAACCAACACTGGTTCGCGCGTATGTATGGAGTCTAGGACTATTCGGACTGGATCATCATCCAATGCACAGCATCGGGGCTTTTACACAACGACTTTTATTTTCGGCATTTTTAATTTTTAATAGTTTTTAATTTTCGTCTCGACCTTTTGAAATATTTCCATCTTGTTTAATCATATGAGTTTGAAGAATTGAGGCCGCGTTTGTTATACCATGACATACGGATGTGTTATCACATAGTACATCGTCTGATAGTATAATAATTTCGGCTAGTTATAGGTTAAGGTATCTAGGATGTAAAAGTGGCCACCATCGTACAGAAGCACAACAACAAAGTACCTAAAGGTTTAAAATGTGTTGATATGGTGGCTTCCACGCGAGTTCAATCCCGTCTATATCTACAAGAGGTAGTTACGATCGTACCGGCAGGCCCACAACTAGGCTACAAAGCGGCAAAGCAAAGTGCGCTAAACCCTTCCCAATTTTCGTTTACTCCCAATGTTACCAACATGCATAAAGAGAACAGCCAAGCAACTGCGGGCTGAGCGATTCATCATTTAACAGGTCGCCCTATTCGTCGAATGATCGCCCCCCTGAGTTTAAGTTTATTTTAAATTCTTTGCATGTATCTACCTAGGTACAATACCGTCGCACATACACTAGGTGCAGCAGCAGCAACTTACAGTTTTCGGGAAGCTGTAACTAACTGATTTCGCATTTAACTTTTTTTTTTTTTCTCATACTGATTAAAGACATAGGATGCTAACCTACCCTTTCCAATGTCTTTCCTCATGTCGTCGGCACGCCGACTTTCATATCCCGTCCTCATCGCCGTAAGCGCTCTTTTGGTCATTTCGGTATACCTTCTCTCCACCAGGGGAGAGGGAGTACCATACCTCAACTCCCCCGGAAGCACAACAACAACCCCACAGCCCGAGCTAGCAGATATCGATGATATTCGCAACAATACTCTTGGCGTTAGTTGAAGCCCAATTACCTACTGACTAATAAATCTAACATCACTGCGCAGTTCGAAAAGATATTCGTCATTGGTCTGCCGTCTCGCACAGATCGCCGCGATGGAATGATACTCCAGACAGCCCTCAGTAACTTCGAGTTCGAGTTCATAGACGGCGTCGATGGCAAAGATATACCTGACAAGGCCATCCCGACCAGTCATGAACTTAACCGTTTAGATAATCCCACCTTGGGAGCCTGGCGGGCGCACATTAATGCAATTCAAGAGTTCGTAAACGCCATCTTCCGAGTTGAGTTCGGGGACCCTCGTGTCTTATTGACTTTCCCTTAGAGTTGTTCGGAGAAATCTGTCGTCGGCGTTAATCATGGAAGACGATGCCGACTGGGATGTCAGGATTAGAGAGCAGATGCACGACTTCGCCTTGTCGGCACATGCTCTGACGCAGCCTTTAACAGGCTCGTCCAAGTTTACCGACCCAACCTTCCCCGAAGCCAAGAACGGTCCTTCGGCCGTTCCGGACCTTATATTCGGTAAATTACCCGCCACGGCGGCTCCGAAGAAATCCCCGTATGGTGATAATTGGGACGTGCTCTGGCTTGGCCACTGCGGAATGCATTTCCCATTCCCGGATAAGAAAATCGTACCCAAGGGCCGGGTGGTGCGCCCCAACGACGTTACCGTCCCTCAGCACAAGCATCTATGGTCTATCTACGAGCCAAGTGACCTAAGACAACAGTATCCGAGCCACACAAGGGTTGTCCACCACGTGCAAGACGGCGTCTGCTCTCTGGCATACGCGGTCACGCAACAAGGTGCGCGGAAACTTCTATACGAGCTCGGGTTGAAGGATATGAACTCGGCCTTCGATATCGAGCTGAGGTGGTTCTGTGAAGGGACTGGGGAGCCCGATCGAGGTCACCACAACTGCTTAACTGTAGAACCGTCACTGTTCCAGATTCATCTCCCAGCCGGCCCGAAGAAGAGCAACAGCGATATCTCAGATCACGGCGAGGGTCTCCAAGAGAAAATGACCAAGGTGCTAAGATATAGCGTGCGGATGAATGCCGAGGCGTTAATGGATGGACGGTTAGACCAGCTCGTGGACCAGTGGCCAGATTCATGAGCCCGCCAGATTACATTACTACAACTTACAAATCTCATCTGGTAAACTTCTAGATATGCCTCGTCGCGGCGAATAAACGAGAAAGGGGAAGCCACGCATCGACTTGAGTCCCCATTAGCCTTCAGGCTTCCGATACAATGGAAACTAGAATTCGCAACCCGCCCACGCCTCCGGAAGCCCACCTCTGGCGGTTCCTGCACGATAGCAACGACTCTTGAGAAACGGCAGTGCCCATAAGGTACTACTACACGGGTCGTTAAGATACCTGATAGAGTCGAACATCGGTTCTATGTTCTCGTCTTCTACATTTGTCACTGCGAATCTATTTAGATGGCAATTGTTGGCGACGGCGTCAGGCGGGGTGGAGAAAAGGGCATCAGAGAAAGTTTTACGTATACTTGGGCGGCGGCTGGATTAATCGTCGTCTGGAAAATATAGTGTTCCTCCGAAGAGCTTACTTCTTTCTATGCTTGCCATATCTGACTACCCAGAACCCTACATTCTGTAGGACGATTCCAGCGGTCGGCCAAGAAAGATACAACGCGTTAACGACCCCTTTTAGTTTAATCTAAGCCTATCATGAAATTGAAATGACAAAATGATCTAGCAGCTCCAATCAAAATTAGTATAAGATGATTACCGACGGGAACAAGGCGTGATTTAGGGGGTCTGGACGTAGGTAAATCTTGTTTGTTATAGCGCTTTTACCCCTTAAAGCGTAAGGTGTCGTTAGATTGTGCCCGTTAGCAAAGTACCTAATATAATCTAACCTAAGGGATGATGTGAAGCCCCATGTGATATTGTAAGTTAAGAGTTTATCCCCTTCCCCACCACCGAGGCTGGGATTTTTAATCGATATATTGATGCTTTCCCCTTTTTTCTATCTAAAGCCTATCGAGGACTCAGCGCATCTTTGACTCTTGCGAGAATGAGTTAGGAGAAGGCAGTCTTGCTTGCTAAGAGGGACTCAGCCGGGCAAGATGTCAAGTTGAATTTTCGGATTAATCAGCGTTCAATACGTGTCTCGAGAATATGACTAGTTAGTCCAGATAGATTCGTAGTTGAGCTCTCTTCTTGAAAGTCCTCCCTCGAAGCCTCTCGATTATCTAGCTCGGTATTAATTTATGAATACATATCACGTACTACGAAGATCTATCTATGTGAAAGATATTAGAAAACCCGCGTACATATTAGGGATTGTTGGTCAATAGACCATACAGCTTCAGGAGCTTTATTATGTAGGTACCTATGGTGACGCACAGCCTCATCAAAAAAGTATATGTACATATATATCCAAGTGAGAAGGCATCGTAGCCTATATACAACATCGCGCCATGCTTATCAGGGTCGAAGCCCGGCTTCGACAGGACTCCCCCGGAAAGCCGAGAGCTCCGTCATCTAGGTAAGTATCCACTCCCTATCTGACCATTAAGTCCGGCCGTCGTGTAGCTAGCTAGCTAGGTAGCTAGCTATACGACGCCCACGCTCACGGCGGCGTCGCCTCTTGGTATATATAGAAAGTATCGTACCCCACGATATCTTTGCTAGGCTCTAGGTAGTTAGGATATTTTGGCAAAACCCCGACTGACAAAGCCAGGACCAGTATCCTGCAAATATTGGATCGACGCAATAATAGGTAGATAGCAAGTCTATGCCACGTCCACCTCCACCTCCACCGTGAGCGAAGCGGGGAAGAGCACCGAGTGCATACATACTCCGCGTTATCCACCTACGACAAATAGAGACTTCGGCCCGATAGCCACGACCATCCCTCACAAGTCCGAGTATTTGATCAGACATAAATGAACCCGAGAGTTAGCCCGGCGGCTCGCGGTCGTAGAGAGTCCAACTCCAACTCCTATGTACATAGCTTCGCGGACGGGTTACGATTATACTATAAGAAAAGGGTTAGTTATTCCGTTCTTGGCCCGGTTCATGCGAAAAAAGTGGATGATGTTAGGTAGTCTCTTAATTCTCTCAAGGCATATACGAGGTTTATAACTTACCATTAGTTATACGTAGTAGTAGTAGATACTACCATATCCCCTAGCCCCCTAGGTAGCAGGGTCGTGGTGTCATGTCATGTCTTATACATAAACCATCCGACTTCGGGCTGTATCGTATCATTTCCGGCACTCCGGCGCATCTGCGGTTTGCCACCCGCGCCCGCGTTGTTGCTGATTACATCTTTGCACCGAAATGCTCGTATCGCCATCGACCCGGCCACCATCTCGGTCGGGATCTCGACGCCGTCCTTCAGCAGCGTCACCGGCACTCTGCTGAACCCGCTCGGCATCTGGCTCCTCGTCAATCTAACCTCCTGCCCCGGTTTTGCTCCGTGTAGACATCTGCCGCTCTCGTCCCAGAAGCAGAACGATGTAATCCATCCCGAGTAAGTCGTAGTGCCGCTGCCGTTAGGTACCTGTTCGTTGCAGATGCCCTGCCAGAACCTTCTTGTGGCCGAGCTCTCCGGGTCTCCGAAACTGGCAACAAAACCATCCAAGATAGGTCTAAGTAGTCGGAGCCACCGGGACGGTTCCGAGCCTAAAGTCTCCAGCCGTTCAACACGCTCCCGGATCTTGATCCAATCGCTCTCCTCACCAAGTAAGGTTACGGACGGTATTCCGCATCGCGTTCCCCAACTGTACGTGAAATACTTCTGCATCGTGCCCATGAAGATGATGCTGGCGACAGCCTGGTCTATCTTAGTCGTAGTCGTGAAAGCCGGGAGGATCCATTGTTGCAGGTTCTCGTCCCGCAGTCTTTCGCCTAACACTTTGGTCATTATATACGCCAATTTACCATGGTCGGCGCCGTCTAGATCGGCGTCGATATGTAACTCCTGTTGGCCCTCGTGGGTGCAGAATCGCTTGCGCAGCTCCTCCGCATGCCCGTTAACGTAGGAGCAAAACTGCGTTAGGATGGCGAACCAGACATCCTCCGGCCTTATCACCAGGCAGTGATGCTCATTATACGCATCCACGCACGCATGAACAAATCCATTCTTGGTAGCGAAGACGTTATCCTTCCTCTCAAGCCCCGCAAACGAACTCTGTACCAACTGTCTAGCCCGCGGCGGGCTGGTGCGCGTGTCGTCGGTCAGCGTGTAATGCAGCAAGATCTCGGGCGACGATGCGAGTCGATATTGGCGACCTGCCCAGGATGTCGACCCATGATTTGATGGCCTGACTGTGACGGGCATGTCAGGCAAAAAAGGCGTAGCTACATCTGAAATCTACACAATTAAAAAGAAAAAAAAAGAGGGAAAAGAAAGGGAAAAATATCAAAGCTGATATTTAGAACAGCAATAAATGACAACAGTTCATTATGCCCCCCCAAAAAAAGAAAAAAAAGGAGCAAATATACTGGCTGTTATACCAGGACTATCACCGAACCTCTAGTTAGTAGGTTTTTTTTTTCTTTCTTTCGTCAACACCTCTACATACGTTTCTAGGGAGAAATATCCCGATTAGGCAGCCGGTGGGAATAATGTGCAATCAGGGACTGGATGTATAATTGGCCCACATGCGATGTTCTGGTGACGCCAAGTAACGGCCTAAGCCGTCTAGGGCGACCGAGATGTGATGTGGGCTACACTGTAAACGGCACGGATTTGCCGCGGCATTGCCCCGAAGGCACCTCTCATGTCCACTCAAGCCACTCTCATCTGGTAGTCTTCTCTAGTCGACATTCGAGACAACTCGAACACCGAGGCAACCCGGAGCGACTTTCTCACGTCCGGGGGACGGAGGAGGGAACGAACGTAGGGCTCGGTAAAGGCCATGTTTACGCATCTTACGTTTTGATTTGTCCACTTCCTCATTGCCGACTACTACCAATCTGACGATGGCTGGATGGCTGGATGGGTCGACGAGGTAGCCGGCACTGGCGCAAAATCCAATAACTATACTATGTAAAATAACTGGTCGGAGTGCCGGGCTGATATCATCTGCTACTATGTTGACGCGGCCAACGTTAATGAACTGAGGAAACTTGCCGATCCTATCCTCAAACTAGTAGGTCCCGCGAGCTTTCTCGCCATCGACCAAGGATCTCGGTATATAGGTCTGCAACGTTTCTTCAAACCTAGACTCGGTTGGGCTATCCACCACGTGTCGACGAGACCCGCGAACGTTAGCTGCTATACTGCATTGGGCATATCAAGTTCGTCAAGTTCTCCCTTCGGAAGACTCGTCGCCGAAAAGAGGATCCCGCTTTAGCAACGATATAGTAAAATCAATCTTAAGCCTTCGCGATGCAGGCCCGATAATATCACCTTTGCCACGCGGCGGCATCGTCTCTTGGCCCGTCCGGACAATACGAATCGGGCCGGCTCTTATAAAAAGTCGAAGCTAGTACCTATAGTTCGGCCTATGCAAGCGAGTTTTCGGCGCGTCGCGAGACAGGTAGGTAGAGAGAAACTACAAATGACAAGACAGGGTCCTCCCCTGGACATCGCGCCCTTGGCGATCGCTCTAGTTCGTCATGGCCTCGGCGAGCTTTCCGGAACTCTTGGGATCTCGCAATGGGTTTTGAGCATTTATTTAATTGAGTCGGGCAACTTAACCCGAGTATAATTTGCAAGCCCTCGGGAACAGCATTTAATTGGTCCCGAGCTGTCGTCTCTAATAAAAACGCCCTGGCTTACTTCAAATTGGGCCATGGAGCTGGCTGCTGACGATGAACCATGCTAGGACTGACAGCTAGGTATGTATTCCAGTTCTTTTCTCCACGGACTAAGCGGCTGCCCGAGTACAATACGAAGAAAGAAATGACTCGGGATTTGACAAATGGAGATGTGCGTCCATCTTGACTAATTGAAATGCTAGTTTCGTTAATAGATTGGTCGGCGTAGGTAATTACGATGCGATGGCGGAGCAGCGGAGTGAGATGCCTGCAAGACAGAGCTATAAGCTGCTATAAGGCTGGAAAAATCGATCCACTAAGAGGCCGCCGGTCCGCCTCGGCTTGGTGCAGTAGTCCCGTTCCGGATCTCGGTGTAGACGTCTCCAGATCAGGTGTTTCAACTACGAGTTATCGAGTTATCCCTATAGCGCAATGATAAGCCGCATTGCACCAACATCATCATGTCTCGGCGGAACTCTCGTGCTTCGTCACTCGTGGTTGATAACTAAACTATGACCAACGTTGCGTCGTTGCCAAGCGGACAGTTGCCCGCAGCAATGGCGTTACGTACCGATTCTTAGGTTGTGGTACGTATTACGACCGACTAAAAGAATTAGAAAAACAGACCTCCGTTATAGCATCTCCGAGGATGTTGATGGTAAACTTGTACGAGTCCTGAACTGAACTGAACTTCCCCCAGGACTTTAAGATTATATGCTTACGCGGCGAATGTTATGCCGCAGCGTTATAACAGCCATTCTATAACAGCCATTCTCTTGACATGGCTGGATATGTTCAATAATATAGGTTAGGTAGGTAAGCAGATTAGTCTACGGTTGCGGTGTGTTTCCCGGTATCTTACTCCACCTGCGGGCACATCTCTTGGCTATTTGATTCTATATTCGGGCTGATGGTGTGAAGGGGGTATCTATAGTAACTGGCCACACCAATTATATCCTAAGGAGGGCGAGACTGGATTTAGACACCAGTCCACTTCCCAAACTTTTTGTAATTCGCAAACATCTCCCTAAAGATGGCGCGCCCGTTCGCATCTAGGGACTCATTTAATACCCTCCTGCATCCCTGTGGCGTGATGTCGAGGATTGAGTAGACGCCCGGCTCGAGAGCCTTTCTGATGTCTCGTGGCACATTCACCTCAAGCTGCAGTTTGATATATAACTCCAGTATAGTGAACATGTCCTGCCCCGCTGTCCGTTTTGCAATGTCTGTTGAGGAATCTAATTCGCTTGACCGCGTGCGGGCCACCGATGCCGCACTTGGCTCGCATATAAGCGTGAGGAGGCGAGTGAACCGTTCTGCGTGTCTCGACTGCAGGCGAGATCTAAGCCATGGTGGACGAGCTTGTGAGCATGTTGCATCTGCTTTATCGAGACCTGCATCAGCCAGTAAAGTAGCAAGGAGTGCTCGCAATGCGGCAAGCAGGATCGGGAAATGCCCCGTCAAGCGAAGTCGGTGTCGTTTGAGTATAAGGGCCACTAATCGGTATAACTTATCGTAAATATCTCCTGCTGCTTTATGATCCTGTATTCTAGGGCCTGCCTGTGAGCATACATGAACAACACTGCTTAGTGTTGCCTCGATATTGAACTGGGCCATAGAGTTAGCATGCTTATCAAGAAGCAGCAGTAAGACCTCAGACAACTGTTTGAAGTGTCGGAGAGATTCCACCCGGCTTAGTAGAGAGGCAAGCCGCTCATGTACGACGCCAAGGTCAATAGCATCTTGGGTCTCACCACCAGAGGATGAGGTAGCAGGTCCTAAAATGACGTTAGACGCAGCTCTGTTTGATAGTACTAATTGTAGGAAAACTCACCGTGACGCAGCTCGACAAGCCTCCTAACAGCTAGGAGAGGCCCAATAGCGCCACCGGCCAGCTTCCCACTGCCGATTAATTCACCAAGCAGCCGATCCCTTACGGGCTGACCGCGATTCTTCACAAAGGCATCGACCAAATCATATACTAAATCCTCATCAACCGCCGTAGATGCTTGTTCTAGCTGCGTAAATAAGCCTAACAAATCGTATCGATCCGGGTTGTTTCTAAAAAGGAACGCCCGCAGCTTCCAGCCAATGTGAAGTTTCTTAGACATGTATGATGTACTTATACTTTCCAATCGGTGGATAGTCTTCTCTGTGAGCTCAATTCGCCTCTCTTCATAAGCATCAGCAATACATGCCGCCCCGCTTAGCGTTATAGAAAGTGAGAGTATAGTGGACTCATCGTCCGCGGCTAAGTCCGTTTGTTTGTTCTCGGACGCAAATCTAGTCAAGCTAGTTTGTACCTGTCGTTCTAGTTTGCGTACGATTTCATCCACATTGATACTTGAGCTATATGACTTGCTAGAGGAATTGTGCAGTGCGGAAACTATGCTCTTTACCAGAAGTATTTGAGCAGCTGTGTTCTTCGATGCCTTTGGCTCAAGCCTCTTCACAAAGTTCGAGGCCTCGGTCAAGTAGGCTAGGGAAGGCCCATCGGCACTGGTAACCATTTGCCTAGAGTAAAGTTAGCTTCGCAAGAGATATACGTGAATGTACATTGCTGCTAACCGTAACGTCAGGTCGATGAGCTTCTCAATTAGAGCAACGATGTTTTTGTCATCCTGCCACATGTTGGAAGATATGTAAACAAGATCGTCAAATTCCATATCCTAATAAAATCATTAGTATTCGTGCTTCGACTTAAAAGCAGCTACTTACTTCGTAAAATGTTGGTTGCTGCATTACTTTGACCAACAACCTAAGCACAGTTACTGCGAATAGTGAATCCTGTGATGCACGATTGGCTATTTTCGATCTCCAAATTTTCCATGAAGACATGATGCGCTTTCGCCGCCCTTTCGTCAAGGCTTCGCGTGGAAAGTCTAAGAGAACCGAAAGCGTCGAGAGGCCCCGCGGTTGCGTCCAGCCTGATTCATTTTTCGTATCATCAAGGCTATTAAGTGACTTTGATATGAGAGATTCAATTAACGCTTCATCATCTTCGCAATCGAAGTTACGTAGGAGGGGCCGGAGAGCGTCGCTAAGTAGCGTGCCCTTCTCAACTATGAAATGCTGTTCGGTCTGCCAAAACATATCCGCAATGAGATCTCTGAGGTCAGCAACTTCTCTTTTCGGTATATCGGCAAGCCTTGGTAGGAATCGAAACACATAGTCTATGTAAGGCCGTGATACGGAGGGATCGATGTTGGTTTTCATTTCAGAGATGACTCTTCCAAGAAATGAATGTGCGAGTTTAGCCAGATCCGCGTGATGCTTGCCTCCAGGGTAGTTAGCCAGCCAGACATTGTAAGAATAGCCAAATGCTTCAAAGGTCTCAGGATCAGATAAAAGACCCTTCTTTAGAATGCGTTTAAGAGCCGATTTTAACTCAACCCAAAGCCGATCAACCTCTTCTGACGTCTCCCAAGAAGCCATACGGCCGGCTATACGCCATCTCAATGATAGGATCGAAGACGGAATATCCTTGCAATTCTTGTCTTCAAAAAGCGCGGCAAAAATCTTCGAATCAGCACTCATAGTGAAATCCTCTTCGGTGATTCCCGCTGAGATCCCATCAAGGACAACTAAGAGCGCCCCGCTAGGAGCGTCTGATGAGTCCAGGCGCTCTAAGACACGGAGAAGTTGTGTGCTAGTCAACGTGCTTTGCAAAATCCTAGCCAAATGTTGTCGAATTTCGGCATCAGCCCATATCGATTGGCCCAGCGAGTCGGCATCACTCTCACTAAGACATTCATACCATTTCTGGATAAAGCCTGAGAAGTTTCGCGCTTTTGCGAAGGCGTCTTCTAAGGGAAGGATAACCTCCTTGACAACAGTTTCTCTTGTGATAAGATCATGGCTTGAAATAGAACTTATCCTGTTGAAAACATTTTCGATTAGAGAATCATCTGTGAGGAACACATCGGCATCACAGGCGAGGGCCTTAGAAATTAGTTTCCAGTCAGTTTCATCCGTTCCAAGTGCATGTTCTCGACACACGGTCCGCAGAGCTGTAGTGTTTGGAACCGAGTTTGTCCGGATAGCCGTATCTAATAGTTGAATGATGACTTGATTCCGAACTAAAGGCTCCAAAGATTGGATAGCTTTGAGTAGGACAGTAAAGACGTTTTGAGCCCATAAGGTATGTTCAGCTTTCGATTTCGGATTACTCAAATCTCGGGGCGTCCTCGCTGCTACGTCCCATGTAACAATGGCAGAGCCGCCTAAGTTTCTATTTGCAAGGTCCAGAGCGGTCTCTAGTACCTCAACATTTTCATCTATCGCGAACGTATGCCTTACAGGGCGAACGAAGTATACATTCAAGAACCGCTCGAGCTGTCGAATCCAGAGTCTCCTAACTCCATCACTGGCCACTGTCACAGGCGTTGCCCCAACAAGGCCACGTAACCTCGTCAGAATAGAACTCATAGGCACATATATATGTCGGGCAAACTCAAGGCTGTCGTCCTTATTATGAAGGCGGAGATTCCAGAGAGTAGTAATAATACTGATCCATGATTCTTGATCTCCGGAAAGGCCATGTTCGAGAACGCTTAGTGAGCGGTCGCAGGTCAGAAGTAACCCTGCAGCGATATCCCTAGTTTCTTCGTTAGATGAAGAGAAGAGCGATTTGATATGCTCGGCTCCGACTCTTCGTTCTGAAGCATCAGATCCTATGCGATGAGCCCCCTGGTCAAGGAGACCACCCAAAGCCCTAAACAATTCGGTAGCCGACTTTATGCAACCTTTTGGAGTACGAAGCTCCTCTATATCGGAAAGGAACCCATCATCTCTCTTCCTCTTTTTCGTTTTATCTGAGGCAATTCCATTCGTCTGGGGTGGAGATAAAGGAGATGGTTTTCGAGCCGTGGTGATGTCGTTTATGGTTTGATGTAGGATAGAGACGAATCGAAGAGAGGCGAGCGACCTTCCTAGTGTCTGCGGCGGGATTTTGGAAAATACATGGCTCAAAAGGGACCAAGTGAGAGGGTACCGTCGAACCTGTTCAGCATCCTCGATCTTGCCGTTCATATTCTTAAATAGCCATCGTAATATATTTTCTTCTACACCATGGAATCTCGTACCCTTTGCTGCCGAAAGTAAAACCCAAAGTCTGCGGATTTTGTCGGGTAGCGCAATTGTTCCATCTTCGTCAAGAGATCTTACAGCTTTGATTAAAGCAAGCCGGCGCGACTAGATGTTCTGTATTAGTTCCAATTGTATTATGATTCTTGGATAAAAGCGCACGGCGTATGGATCCAGCTTACCCCTAAGTCACTATCCACCTCCATCTTGTAATTGAACCACTACTAGCATTGCCAGGTGCTTGAATGCTATATTATAAGCTGTTGCGACACTCGAGGTACGCAGTAAAGTTGAATTGAAGCTTCCAACTTTTTTTTGTGGAACTCCCCGCGAAATACAAAATATTATGAATTCTGCCGCTACAGATATTCGTACTAACCTAAAAAGGAATTCTACGTATTCACCGCTTTCGGGTACCAGGGAACACAAGCCGACAGGCTGATCAAGCAGCTGCGTCAATGACCTGATTGCTTTTGTGCCGAAAGAGAATATTTCTTGAAATAATAATTATAGTCCAGCCGTCACCTCTAAGAAACACCCAAGAAATCCTCAATTTCGAACGTATGAGCTCCCAAACTTTTCAATCTCATAATTGCATAATTGAAGCTAATTATTTCTTATCGTAGTCCTTGACACTATGTCAGACAGCTCGGCCCCCGTCCCCGCGCCGCCTAGCACGGTCTCTAGGCCTGTGAGCGAGGCACTTTTGAACGAGAAGGTATAATATTATTACTACTCCTAGTCTCAGTCTACCGTCGTCGCATAAGGGTCGCTAATACGAGGGTATCATAGTGGGACCGTTGCATTTCCAACATGCTCATAAAGTCATCGCTCGGTCTCGGATTCGGTGTCGTCTTCTCAGTTCTCTTATTCCGACGAAGAGCGTGGCCCGCATTTGTGGGAGTGGGTTTCGGTGCTGGTAGGGCCTACGAGGAATGCAATTGGAGCTTAAAGCAGGCATCACAAGAGCTAAAGAGGAAAGCATGAAGGGAAGCTAGATGATAGCTTTAGAGGGGATCATCTCGACGAAAGACACATTCGCGAGCATTACTACACCTGTACAACAGAAACAACACCAATAGACGGCCTGACTACCTTGAGACGGACGTAGTTGGAACGAGCTCGTTCGTCGAAAAAAAAAAGACTTACTTATTACGCATTTGTAAAGCAGGGGGCTAAACACGATTTTCGGGACTCTCTATACTCATATCAAACGCTTTTAAGGGGGGACGCATATAATGAATGATTGGAAACCCTGGCAGGCCGTAGGAGCGCTATTCTTCAACCAAGCCCCCGTCCTATGCATCCAAGATTTACTCATCGATATTACTAGCAGTGCTCGTCCCTCACAGCTCTTCAACATCCACCGACCGCTGAAACAGGCGTAGGATCCTACGATTTGTCCTACGTCGGACCTTCAGTTCCTCCTCTAGACAGACAGCACATCCGCTGTCCGGCATGTTTTGCGTAAAAAAGAACCACTACCCTTAGTTCCACTGCTTTCCACATTACCAAGAGCCGCCTCCTCGTCCAATCTGTGTCGGGGGTGCGTTGTCCTCCTAAGCTCGCATGCATCCCTCTCAATGCTAGTAGCAAGATCTGTGGTCTTGTGCCAGGCCGATTTGATGAGATCTTCCGCCGATACTTTTCTCAACTTAGATAAGAGCGATCTATCTTCTTTTAGGGGTCGTTCCTTCGGTATGTGGCAGCACTCTAGGTCCATATTATGGGTTGTCTTGCCTCCTTTCGTAGCTAAGGACCTAATGCCAAGTCGTATACCTACCAAGAGAAGCCATCCCATAAGCAAGACTAGGAAACATATTCCTAAAGCCAGGCCATAAATCTCGTTGAGAGAGGCAGGTCGTACGCCAGAGGGGTAAGAGAATGTAGTATGTTGGAAGGTATGTGACAGCGCTGGGATCTGAGGGAGCATCGTCTGCTGCAAGACCCGTGCAGGACCATCATCATAGTTCGAGTAATACGCCATAGTGGAGGCCGGGACCGATATATCGTCCCTTTCCTTTTGATATCGCCGGCTATGGCTAATAACTCTACGATAAAAGGTGCTAGTAGTTGTGTTTCGTCTTTTGGCTTGGCGACAAAACGCGCTGCGAAGTTGCCTAGATTGTTTAGTTGTCATCACGAGATGCCACCGCTATTAAAGGGTACTTTACTGTGGATGGGGTTTTCAATAACAATATCAAGAGGATATTTGCAGCAGAGCATCAGCTTTGTACAAATAGCCAAATGGATAAGACATTAATTTCTGCTTGGTTCGAGGCTAGGACAATGTCCAAAATACCCAAGTACGTCAGTAACAGCGTACGTCAGTAACAGCCTGTTTGTGGAAGTGTGACGATATTTTGACAACGGATGTTAATAAAATATTGCTCATTAGCTGACTATGCCGCAGGAGGTTGAACAAAAGTCAAACATACATAGTCATCGATCATTAACCTTCCTTACCTATTTTAGCAATTGCTAGGACAAACTCCCGTGTAAGCAGGACCTTACGTGGAAGGTAGAAAGGAAGAGCAACAATGCAGAGGTGTTAGTGGAACTTTCGGTCTGAACCGCAACTTACAGCACAACACATTTTCTATAACTAAGACTTTTAATTAGTTACCGCCTACAAGGAAACAACTAGGCAGCCAACGATATATTCATCATAAAAATCGATATATCAAACAATATTCTTACTCTACCCATCATGTAACCTTGGTAGTTAAATATAATCTATCTTATAAAACGTCTTACTAAATTGACGTACCTAATCCTAATATGAAGGCTTATACGATAATATGCGAAAAGTGACTTGAAAAAGAAGCTTCCGATAATTTCACCTCTTCAGTTTCTTAGCAAACCTGTCCATTGGTCCTTCCTTAACTACTACATCCTGATTTGTGTGCTTCAGCCCGCCCTTTCCACTTCCATCTTGGATGTCAGCATGGCGTGTATGCCTCCTATCGTTGCTACCGCCACTAAAACCTTCCATCTCTGTTTCACCAACCTTCTCAAATAATTCCTTCCATGTTCCATTCTTGACTTTATCATCGTTCCCATATAGCCCAATAGAATAGGCGCTCTTCATCGCAGAAATACACGCGCTTCTCCTTTGTCCGAAGTCAAACATCGCAGTTGGATAGTTTCCATCCGTTCTCTTATTGAGTCCATCTCCTTTAATTCCCACACCGGCTTCGTCCAGTGTTGCTCTACTAGCCTTCCACGGCTCATATATATACTTTTCGTCTAAGTTCTTCAGCTCGGGTACCCATTTTCTGATAAATTCACCTTTTTTATCCCACTTCTGCCCGAATGCCACTGGGCTATAGCAACGAAAGTACTGGGAGTAGAATGCAGTACAGCTCATCCATTGCCAGTTACCAGCATTGCTGGCCGGTTCGTGGTCGATCAGCCACTCTTCAAAAACGTCGGCTCCACGCTCCCAATGTACATAACATCCACCTCTAGTGAGGAAACACGCTACCATGTGACGCCCTAGGTGATGAATCCAGCCCTCAACGCGTAGCTGACGCATCAAAGCATCAACGAACGGAAACCCAGTCACGCCTTCTTTCCAACGTAGAAACCATTCCTCTGCTTGTGGAGAGTCAATATGATACTCGCCACTAATTGCGTTACTGCCAGTCTCAGTTCCCCCTACCTTTGAGGGCAAGTGCCAAGGAATAAACCGACAGTATGCATTATTCATAGTTTGGGCTATAACACTAGAGTCAGAAGCCTGCACGCATTTTGATGGGGTCAAGAGCTGCTTGGAAACATACTCACCGAAAGGAGATCCGATTGCTGCCTGAGCCGCGAAGTACATGTCCCGAAACAACAGCTGGCCGGTCAGACTTTCGGGCGGTGTGGATGCCCCCTTGCCGTACCTTTGAACCAGATCTTGCGCCCGCCAATAGAAAAGGCGTGGTGAGAGTGCACCGAAGTGTAGCATCGGTGATAAGAGGGTCGTTGATTGAGGCTCGAAAGCCGCAGGACTAGTCTTCGGTTTCTGGAAAGTGGCCGCATATTTCTCGTCTGAGAAGATTTCTTCCAGCTGCTTTAAAGCAATTGTCTCACCACCGCGGTGCGGCGTGGTGGCTGGGTCTGAGAACCCAAGCTCCCTAAGAGTTACAATAGCATAATCTCCATTAGGTCCTGCAATGTGTGAGTAGGTCTTATCAATCTCACTCCGGTGTGGGGCATTAAGATCCGGCTCCGGCTTCGGTTTCTCTTGTTTAAAGTCTAGGGACATATCTCCTGGATCTGGAAGATACTCTGGTGTGGGTACGGGCCGAGGTATCTCCCCAACTTTCCTCCCGGCAGCTTGAAGTTGGGTAATAGACATAGTTGGCTTTCCTCCATGTTTGGCAACAACCTCGTCACTATCCCAAAGCGTACGTCCATACCGATAGATTACTTTAACACCAGCCTTTTCTGCCAACGCCACTACGATTCCATCTCTTTCTCGGGCATAGACATCTGTATCCTTTTCAAATACTAAGTGCGTTACATTCCATGCTTTAAAAAGTTTAGGGAAGAGTGTTTGCGGTGCTTCGCGCAAAACAAAAAGCTTGGACTTTGGATTGAGGTTTTGAATGGACTTTGAAAGGTCAGTCTGACAGTCGAGTCTAGTAACATTAGTGATTGATTTCACGGATTCAACATTCGAAGCCTGAAGCTCACAAGAATTGCCACCTGTTCACCCCTCCTTTGACTCGATATACATAGTGAGGATCCCACGTAAAGATAGGCCACAAGATAACAGGATCTAAGTCAAGAGCGGCTCTTAAAGCAGGAGAATCGTGGAGCCGAAGGTCTGTTCGAAACCAGTATATTACGCGCGGCTTCCCCATTGTGAGGTTCCGGCTTTTATGACTGGCTTAGAGCTGGACTATAAGACCTATCCTTAACAGACAGATGCTTGCTAAAGCTTGAATTTGTTTCGTGGGTTTGAGTGAGTCCATGATGTCAAGACATCAGCCACAACCGGACTCTTTGGCGTAGGCCGGCCCGTGGCTACGGGAAAAGGATACTAAAAGCCAATATGTAAACTCTGTAATATCGAATGGATACCTGCTTTCAAACACAAGGTGTTGTCATAGTCATTTACGTCTTAGAGATGTCCCTTGATGCTATTACACGGCAAAGCCGACAATTGCCAACGAACTTGTTCGAAAACGTGGAATAACTGACAAATACCTTCATTTTTAATTCCATTTCTTTATAAACTTTATTGCATCTTTCTGCCAAATAAGGAAGAAAGTGTTTAACGAGATATGGTCGAGGATTCATTTATGCCTACGAAGCGTATTCCGTTCATACATGACCAAGTTGACGAAGCTTCGTAATAAAATGGGGCTTGTCTACGAGTTGTCTCCTATTTGGGAAACTCTTGGTCGCCGATTCGGCCTTCTCCACGATATAGGCCCATGCTCTGCACTAACGCAGGAACCGCTAAGCTATACCATAGTAGGTAGTGCTTTGGGACAGGGGCAAGAAGGTTGGAATATCTATATAGTAAGCAGAGACAGCGACATTACATAGGTGGTTGGCTGTCTATCGTATGGAGTAGACCTGTAGGCCTATTGTTTCACTCGTATGTAGCGAACGAATAGCTCATTGGAATGGATTGTCTAGTTTGCTGCTGGTAATAGCGTAATGATATGCATATGATCAAATTCACATGCCAGCATTACACTATTAGCGTACGGGAAAGACATACCTAACAAACAGTTCGGGTATGGTAAACCTGGTATTTGAAGCTTCAGCAGGGAGAGATATTAGACTATGTATAAGCATACCTTACCGCATTTTGGTTTTTAAAGTTGCAGGTAGTTCAAGATCTGCATTTATAAGTCACTTTATAAATAAGGAAAAAAAAAAACCAAAAAACTTAAAGTTGTGCATTAAGGTTAACTAATAGATTGCAGATCGTCTAATCATAGCTCTTCCTAGGCGTCTCTATGACGACTTCGAAGAAGTTAAGAGTGTATAGACATAAAAAACGGCTATAAAAATTCCAATACTAATATTCTTAGTCATGCTCACAAAGTATGAAGGCAATGACATGGCGAATGGTGGGGAGTGAAGCAAATGGGGCTATGACTGGCGTACCAGTTATGGATCTATGGAGTGACGTTTGCATGTTGAGTATCTTATGTATCTCATGCAGTTCATGGTAACGCGAATATGCAGGTATGGGGAATAAACTTATATTTAGCCCTCACGTCGACGATGTGGGGAGGACGGGAAGAGGACAAAGCTACTATTATTGTACTGTCTACTTGGGAATTAAGGAATACGCTAGGCCCTGTATTAGGTAGCCAGTACCTATCTCGGTTGTGTAGCCCCACCAAGTTACTAACTGTAAAAGCAGTGTAAAAGTATTTGTCGCCCTCATCTCAACGTCCGCCACACCTATTCGTTCAGAACCCCCCCCTTGCGGGGCCCTTGTCCAGTACCTTGTTTCAAACCAACCTGAATTGGACCGCAATCTGCAAGGCCTCCTTTCGCATTTTCGTTGTATCTGATCAGCGATTCCCCGAGTCTACCTAGTAAGTCAGACCTTACGTACTGATAACCAATATTTTTTTTTTCTCAATGGCATATGTAATCCGTAATACTCCCCATTTCATCTCACCACATCCGTTCATTTATGCCCCTTCAATGGTCATTACCATCTATTCTTAGAATCGAACACACGACACAATTCGACACAATTGGCCCGAGATTTGCATCAAATTCAATCCATCGCATGCCGATCTTTGTACTGATCTTTGTATATTAGGTACTGTCGACTTTGTAGGAAATAAAGTTAATAGGTGGGCACTGGATTGGTCTGTGGTCAAGGCGTTAAGGCGTTCCCGACCAGCTCTGACCCCCCCAACCCCTTGCGACAATCCACCACTTCGGCGCAAGACTTGTGGAAGAGGCTAGGGAAGAGGGAGACAAGGCAGTACAAGGCAGCACAAGGTTGGAATAAAAATTTAGGATAAGGCATTATCGATTGCTGTTATGAAAGGGCGGACCCATATCAAAGTTCATTTAACATTGATGATCCGTGGGAATTGATTCCGCGGACTCTTGGAAAAATAACAGCCATGACCAGACCCCAGATGATTCGCGCAGGTGAGTCGGATCTACATATCTACATACAAGCCTGCCTGCCCAGCTGCCTCTAAATGGGCTAAGGGGAGAAGGGGGAAATTTTGGGAAGATTATTACAATGCAACACCCAACTGACCCCTTGTCTACGGAATACTAAAAAAAAAAAATTATGAATTGTTTGTTCCTTGTGCTATTATGCTAATACTTTGGTCCTTTCGAATTCTACAGACACTATTGATCTACAAAGTCAAGACACGCCTTCTGCTAAAAAACACAAATCTCCTTCGTCGAACGCAGCGCCGAACGGGTCACTCGCGCCGCACCAGGCTGAGACTTTGCGCGAAGTTGAAGACGATAGGGCTGGCGAGGAAGCTCGAAGTCCTAGGATCTCGTGGACCGATGGTGATAACAGTAGCGATTTGCAGCAATACGCCGAACAACTCGCCAACTCCTTGAATGGCAACAAGATGCAATCAGAAGATGCGCTCGCAATCGCGCAGAATGGAGGAGCCGTAGCGAATGGCTCCGACGATGGCGACATGGACGCCGACGCGGATGATGGCATGGATGATGACATGATGGATAAGATTTCAAGCTCTCCTTCAATTGAAGATGGTGGGTACACCCTTCCGCCTCCTGCTTGGCCACGGCGCGTCGACTCGCTACGTCCTCTGGCTTTGCATTCCATTTTCCTCAGACTTTCAGCACCCAGCGAGATGAGACTACCTTCACCGTGTCTCGGATCCGTTGAACACCAATCTATACAACCCCCAGATCAGCAGGCAAGCAAGGCTTCTGCTTATAAGTCAAATCGTCATCATCCTTTTCCTGGTGAGTATAACGGATCGACCGACCGCACGAACCATAACGAAGACCCGGACGACCTGTCACTACCCGAATCCGAATCGAGCATGTAGGAAATATCTACGACGGCTCTGGTAGATGAAACAGGATGCTATATCGAAAAAGGGGGCATCGACCAACGCGTTGCCTCCGAGTCGCAATCAAAGACCGTGAATTTCTCTTTGAAACGTCAATCGGGTGCACAAACTATCGAGACCGAGCTAGACGAGGAGGAATTCGCCATTTCGCCATATTATCTACTACCTTACGATGCCTCCGAAGAGGATGATGATGATGATTACGACAATATTTCCTTAGCCACTGACCCTAGATTCCTTGATGTTGGTTGGGGTGGTAAAGACTTACAAGACTTAGAGGACATTGATTTCGAGTTCGTTTACGCTCTTCACACTTTCGTCGCTACGGTCGAAGGTCAGGCCAATGCTACGAAAGGCGACACCATGGTGCTACTAGACGATAGTAATAGTTACTGGTGGCTTGTAAGGGTGGTCAAGGATAGTAGCATAGGTACGAGCTATTGGTATATTCGAAGCTTAGCCCTAGACTCACGTTTGCTTTTCAGGATACTTACCAGCAGAGCACATCGAGACGCCTACCGAAAGGCTGGCACGTCTCAACAAGCACCGGAACATTGACGTATGTAATTATGTTCATTAAAGAGACCAAGGATTTAACTCTGACCGCGAATTAGCTATCGGCAACAATGCTTGGCGACCAAGCAGAGAAGACCAAGGGCACTGCTATAAAGACTGCCATAAGGAGAAGAAAGAAAACCGTCACCTTCACGGCCCCGACTTATGTTGATTATTCCGACCCCGAGTTTTCTAGCGACGAGGAGGACGATGATAGCGAAAAGGAGCCCGAAGAGCAGGGTTCGCAACAACAGAAGCAAGAGCAGAAAGGGTCTACCGATGATGTCTCGGATGACGACGAATCCGCAAAGGTGGAACCACTCAAGCCTAGGGGTCTACAGAAGCAGGTCAAATCGGACTCCACCAAGACCGATGATAAGGACAATACGCTGTCTCCTGTTCAAAATGATCGTAGGGATAGCAGCGAGATTTTCGATCATAAGGGCGATAGGGGTGATAAGGGCGGCGAGCGGGTTACAAGGAATGGTACTGTTAGGAACACGGATTCTTTCTTCAAGGATGAGACGATAGAGACTAAGAAGATCACGTTGACTCCTGGTCTGCTACGGGACGACAACGAGCCGCGGATCTCAAGCGACTCGAAGGAATCACTGCGGCTACGACCAAGTTTGGAGAAAGAGCTTACGCCTGACAGAAATAAGGACGATAAGAAGAAAAGAGAGAAGGAGAAGAAGGAGAAAGAAAAGAAGCCAAGCGCGATTCGGAGTTTCTTCTCGAGGAAGGATAAGAAGAAGTCCCTTGATGATGACGACGATTCATTTGGCAAGAGGTCCCTGGATGCCACCGCTGAAATGGCGGAGAAGGATGCGGAGGAAGCGCACGCAGCCGATGCGGACTCGTCGCCTGAAAAGGCCAACGGACCTCAGCGGAACACGAGCAAACTTCAGAAGCAGCGGCTCAGGGCCGATTCTTCACCTACTCGCAAACCTGCTATCGCGCCGTCACAGGCTGGTTCAGAGCGCGGTCCCATGCTGGCGTCAGAAGCCAGGAGTAACAATGTAGCAAACGTACCGCCAGCGACACTGAGGATAGTAGAGTCTGATCGGCTTGAAAGCCCAGACCGATCATCTCGGGAGAACGAGAAGGGTAGCTCGAGGTCGGCCGCCACGAAGGAAAGCAAGCCACAGAAGCCACAGAAGGTTACCAAAGCGAAGTCAAGAGTTGAACTCGACGACTTCGATTCGCCCGAGGAAGATGAAACTGCGTCGCAACCGTCGACCAAGACACCTCCGGAACCCGCACGACAGCCTCCTGAGAATAAGCAAACGCGACCAACTCTGCCGGGAGCGTATCCGGACAGTTACGTCAGCACTCAAACGTCAGCATCCGAGCTCAGCGACCAAACGATAAAGCCCCAACGCCCCGCCGGCGAAGAGCGGCTCTCAGAATCTCCTATTCAGGTCTCGCCTGTCATGTCATCCTCTAACCCGCCCGCTCTCATGGTTGATACTTCCAGCCAGGAGGGCCAATCGTCTCCTGCGTCGTCTCCGTCGCCAGAGCTGGTGGACACGGACAACAGGACTCATGGAAAGCAAGACTCGGTGACGACATCGGCGTCAACAGCGACTACGTCGACTTGGAACGACGCCAGCCTTCGCGCGTTCTTCGACTCGGGCTCTGATATCCGGGATCTGCTCGTCATCGTCTACGACAAGAACGACGTGGCGCCCGCGGGCCCCGAACATCCCGTTATCGGCTCTCTGTTCCGCGAGCAGAACGCGAGATTAGCTGAGATTACGACGGTGAGTTTCCACACGGTTTTTTTTTTTTTTTTTTTTTAATAGTGTCTGTCTGTTTGTTGACTTTGGACTAACAATTACCGTAGCAATTGGATAATATGCTCGGGGACTGGTTAGCCCGCAAGCAACGCCTTCGAGGCACGGTATAGACCGTTGCCGTATTATTCGTTTCGTTTCACAAGTATTCGCATGAGGCCGGCGTTTCTCTTATCGCGTTACTTTGTTGATTGTATAGGCTACAAATTGTGGTTTGGGGGCTTTTTTTTTTTCTTCTTCTCATCCTGATCCCATTCATATTCACTTCTCGGCCGACTTTTTTCTGTTTATTTTAGTTCTTTTTAGTTTTTTTAGCCCTCTTCTTTTGCGGCATCCCCCCAACTTTTAACAACGACATCATCATCATCGGTGTAGGGCGCTCGGAGTAAAGAAAGATTCGTTTGTGTACCTTTGGTTTTTTTGAAAATTTGTTTTTTTCGTCGCGTCTTATGTAACACCTCATCCCGGTGCGGGCGGTCCAGGGGGCGAAGAATGGGAGGCGCGAGGGCTTCTAAATACCATACCATCCATCGTTCATCTTCATCATGACGAAATACCATACCATACCATACCAATACCTATCTGGGAATCTTGGTTTTTTTTTGTTTTGTTTTTCTGATTAGGTCCATACCCATATCCCTCTCTTTTGTACGTCCGGGTCTTGTTCCAACACCAATGTCCGTCGTCCATCATCGTCTACGAAGTCTACTGCCCGAGCCGAGCCGACGACACACGGTGTGTTTTTGCGATCTTGCGATCTTGTTTCCTCCCGAGCGATGCGGCGAGGATGGGATGGGAGCAGAGTAAACCCGCGCTGCTGTATATATTCGCTGCTGCTGCTGCTGCTACTGCGCTTGCCGGACGAAGGACGTCGCTTGGAATTTAGAGAGCGCGGCCTTTGGTCGGGCGATGCGTGAAGGAGACGGCTAATTGTTACTTCTCAACATGAGCATGGTGATGTGAATACGATAAGATTTCTTGCTACTTGGCTGTTTTGCAGTATGTGGGCGATGTGCGTAAATAATATCGTTTTATGTCATGTTTTTTGCGTCCGCGTGACTAATGAGTATGAGGAAACGGAGTACGGCCGGGCTTGTTGTTTGACTCCCGGCTTGCTATGAAGAGTATATGTACATTGGTTTATTACCTCGGGTGTTTATGGCTAACAACCTCGACGTCCTTATAAGTCGACTTGGGTAAGGGGTTGTAAGTTCGCTGGCAGTGCAACTAGATGAGGTCACGCGAAGAGTCATGCACGAAGATATCCAGTTTTCTGAAACGGAATTCGTAAGTATTGGTCACTCTATAGCCGTCTAATCGCTAGTAGTAACGATACTCAAGACGATCGAACGCCATGCGAACACTAACAAGCACAAACAGGAACCCGTATCTAATATCCTATGTAACACATCAAATAACTAGAGAATATCATCTCAACAAGACCCTTTCGCTTAAGCAGGACCTAGAATGTTCTTCTCGTACACGGATGTGAATTTGCCCGTGTTGTCGTTCTGAATCTATACATACGCACGCACCAAACCAACCCGTTAGCACTAATATGAACCTATATGAACGTACGGAATACATGTAAAGAGAACAGCGGGATAAGGCAAAATAAATAAAGGGGTCCCCCTAAGAGGAGAACAACGTACCTCGTAGCGCGGGTCGTCAGAGCTAGCCTGGACGTTACGATCGGCCTGGACGCCTGGCTCCGTGATCACGTCGGTGATCTTGCCCGTGCTCTCCGGGGTGTCAGAATCAGGGCCGCCGATGGGCTTGTAGCGGACGGTCTGGCCGGTCTTGTACTGCGGCATGGTGGCTAACTATGTCGAATAATAAGTGCTGACAGAGAGTTGTTGGGTCGAGGACTGCTGCGATGATAGCTAGCCGTTTTCGGTGGATTGTTTGGTTTAGTTGCAATATCGATGTTATGTTGATGTTGATGTTGATGTGGATAGTGTGATGATTCTGATGAGGACTGAGAGAAGAAAAAGTCCGTTGAAGACGAAACCCGACTTCTTTATATCTTTGCCGGACTCCAGCGGGAAACAAAGCGGTGAGATATATCCGATATTCAGGAGTTCGCCCGTCATGAAGTCATAGACGTGCGTCGTGATGAGACTGATTTCGTAATCCTGATATCAAGACTCGGCTGGCATGTTCGCCGCGATGAAGGATCGTGGCTTACAGGGGCGTCGCGTGGGCCGGGTCCCAAGGGAGAATTGATCAAGGCCGTCTATATCGTAGCAAATACACACCGTGCTACGGTGTCGGCCGTAGGGCTGAGAAGGGGGGCACGGGCCCGGGCCGTTGCTGTTCCTGGAGAATAGATGTCGTCAGTCCGATGTCATCGCCATCATCAGCACCACTCTTCTACATATGTATAACTCTGAAACATAACTACATACCGTTGCGTTTCTCTTTCTGGTAGACTACCGCTGAAAGGGTAAAGGGTAAAAGAGCTCGTAGAACGATGATCAGATTTGACCTTTACACGTCTCGATCCCTGTTACTGTACCTTACATATTTTGCTAACAGTAACTCCATATTGCCTCGACAGATAACCAATGCATGCCGTGCAACCGGCAATAAAATGGGGAATGGGTCCGGGGTTATTCCCCTTATGTAGCATCTCGATCCGGGAATTCGGATCGTCTTCTTAGAGCTGTCATACAATGACGTTTTTCGAAGCTTGAGCCTCACCAGACGAGGTAGGTATCTGTCCCTTGCATTAGCTATTTGAACCAATACACAGTAAGAATCAAATTCCCCATTGATCGGTGGTGGAGTACCTAACAACTCTGGCCAGAAGGGGTACAAAGGTAGAATGTTCGGCGACAAAGCCGTGGGTATCAAATTAACATAAGCTACCAGGTAGCTATCTCGGGTAACTCCAAGGTATTCAATACAACGTATTATCATGCTTAAAGAACCAAATACTTCTCCCCAATCCCCTTAATAGCCCCCACGTCACCACCCGCCCAGTAAATCTGCTGGAGATTATACGCCGCCTCCTGGCTAAGGTCGTCCCTGCCCATGATACCGTTTCCCGAGTCGTCGGGCACGTCCTGGAGTACGCGCTGGTAGTACTCCACCGCAAGATGCGGGATGCCGATGGCGTGGTAGCTACGCGCGAGGTTGTAGTGTGCTTCTTGTCTCTGCGCCGCGCTCGGCGAGGCTACCTTGAGCTCATAGTACTGGTGTAGAAACAAGAAACCTTGGGTTAGGAGGAATTGCCGGTTCTCGGCTTGCCGCTTCAATGCGTAGTGGACATAGCAATGACCCACGCTAAGAATCACCATACTGTTGGTCGGATCTAAGGTATAGGCTCTCATGAAGTAGTCTATAACCGTGTTAGTGTCCCGGTAGCCTACAACTCGACACATCATCATGCATGTCTTTTTACTCACTTAATGCGTACGTAAAGCTGTTCGATATGAACAAAATGTGCCCGTAAAGCATTAGCAACGTGATGTCCAACTCCTTACTTGGGTAAACCCTGCCGCTGGGTACACCCTCTTCGTCCCCGCTGTCTTCAGCCCCTGCCGCCGCGGTAATAGCGCGGTCCATGAGCTTGATCTGACGTAGCATATACTTCTGGACGGGACCAGAGGCATACCACGATGCTGGCGATGGACATAATCTGGATAAGGTAGAGAACATCCGGAAAGGGTCTGTATCGTACTGATACTCCCTCATGAGCCAACGAGCTGTGGCTACACACGTCTCCTCGTCTCTACTACGTAATGCGCATGCTGCATTGTATTAGCCATGGTCCGTCTTACAATTTGAGAGGAGAATCATACCAGCCCATGTTACGTGTATCAAGAATACGTCCTCCTTGGACTTGGAGAATATCGTGGTATCGCGAGCAGATTCGCATACTTGATAAGCATCCTGAAATCTCCCGACTTGAGCCAGACCGATGGCATATTCGAGGAAAAGATCAAGCCACTCGGCAAACGAGACACCTCGATAGCTCACGGCTACCTTGACTTGCTTCTCGGCGCCAGAGTCCTCTGGATTTAGATCTATGTTTGGATTAGTATAGGCTCGTTGCTATTTGGACATACAACTTACTGTTGGATAGACGCTCTGCCATGGCTAGAAGGTTTGGATTCCCTTTTCGGGCTTCGACCTTCTCGCGGGCCTGATTTATGCCAAGATGCGCCAGATACTTGTCCCAACTATAGAAGTCCTTGTACGATCTGAAATCGTCAACAAGGAGTCGAGCTGCGGATAAAAATGCATTGGAAGGTCCATTAGCATCAGCTTCGGTCGAAACTCGTGAGTCACGCACGACTTTCCATGCCTCGGATAGTTCGTCCGCCCTTCTCCTCTCTTCCAACTGCATTTCGTCAGTGCGACCAAACACCTTGCGCCGTCTCCTTGATGGATCTGGTTGTGCTCGGGGTTTGCGTTCCTTCGGCCTTGACTTCGCTTTCAGCTTCGGTTTCTCGCCCTTTGGTTTGAGTAGACGCTTGACTCTCTTTGGGTTCGCACTTATATCTTCTCCAGTGACACGTCCCAATGCGGTTTCGAGTAGCGAAGTATCGTCGTCTGACGCCCGACCTTCATCATTATCCTCACCCAAGTCTTCTTCATCTCCACGGGCCTCTTCACGAGCTTGGTCGTGGGCCTCCTGTAGTTTTATGGCTTCATTTACGAGGATATAAGCCTCTCTTTCTTCTCTTGCGGCTTCGTACATCTTTGCTAATTCGTAGCGTGCATCGATGCAAGCCTCGCTATTGGCTTCATCCTGATCGATGGCAGTTGTAAAACATTCTTCGGCCTGTCTTTTATCTCCCGCGTCCAAATAACACTGGCCTGCCCGGATAAGAGACTCGGTATCAAGAAGGTCAGGTTCTCGGAGCGGTTCATAAAAACGTAAGGCCATGGGCAGGCGACCTGCCTCGTACAATGCTGAAGCTGCATCAATCATAAGATGCGAATGCTCTAGGAGTAGTTCAGGCGTGTTGAAAATATCCGGATCAATAAACGCTAAGTGACGCTGATCTATGTTAGCTTTCTTGATGACAGCACCAGAGGATGTAGTCTTACCATAGCCTCATCCTCTTGACCGACTTTGAGGCGATACACAGCAAGTTTTGCTCTTAGTTCTAGTGGAAGACCCTTTCCGTAAGATGAAGAAGGATGCTTTCCATCCTGATACTGTTCTACTTCTAATCGCCGCGTGCTATCTTCATCCCATTCGCAATCCTCCCCTTGGCTATCCCAAAACGTCTCATCCGATCGAGTGAGGAGCCACCTTGATAATGATCTTAGCTCATGAATGGCATCTTTGAACTGTTCAATGTACGCAAGAAGTTCGACGAAGATTTTGATGTCTTGCCAGTCAAAAGGATATTGAGGGTCGAAACCGTTTTCTCGAAAGTGGGCGATGCAGCGTCGATATGCCTCTATAGCCTTTCTAGGGCCATCTGCAAACCGGGGGTTCCCGGTGTCCGCGAGCAGAACATATATTTCGGCGTAACTACGGATGGCATATATATCGAATGGGCACTGCTCGACCAAGACGGCATAGTCTTTGACTGCTGACTTAAGGTGGCCCATTTCAAAACGTACCGCAGCCCTCCCATGACGTGCTCCGCTATGCTTGCTGTCGATTCTTAGGGCTCTCGAGTAAAGCTTGTCAGCGTTGTCGAGATACTCATCTGCCTGTTCTGGGGTTTCCTCTCGGAGAGCAATGGCTAGCTCTGCGCACTGAAGCCACTCGTCTATGATTTTTGGTTGTAGATGCGCGGCGAACAGTCGTGCATGGAAATGACCCTCTCTATCACCTTTCTCCTGGCGTAACGAAGCCAGGAGAACCCATGCCCGATAAGTCTCAGCATTTATACGAATAGCATCGTTTACAAATTCGATGGCTTCGTCAATACGCCCATCCATGTACGCATTTGATGCCATATTAAGGCGATATTTAATATCGCCAGTTGGCTCGGCAGCCTTCCGAGGTCCTCGCTTCTTAGCGCCTCGACCACCGTGGCCACCTCGAGGACGGTCTGGCTTGATATCAGCACGGAGGTACTTTCTGATGAGTCCACGCATAGGACGGAGTTTTGGCATGGGATTTTCCGAGTTGAGGTGATTCTGTCGCTCTAGAAGTGCGTCGGTAGCAGAATCCATTGGATCTGCTTCGTCTTCTACAGCCATTACTTGGATCGCCGTGTTGACTGGCATGCTGTGCGAGACACCCGCTGAGCTTTGCGACTGGGGAAGATTTCTCTCATTACGAGGAGCCCCTGGGGGCGGATAAGGGTTTGGTACATCTCTCGACACACTGCCCAAAGGAACCCCCCAGCCTTGTGAGTTAGCCGTATTGGGGTGAAGAGATGGATGCGGGTACATCATCGATGGTGTTTCTTTCCTTGGAAGAGGTCGAATCTCCCGGGGCGGATAAGGTTGAATTGCTGGATAGCTCGACCTAGGCATAGGGACGTTACTACTAAGCTGTGGCCGCAACGTTCCCGCAGCTGTATTTGGCAAAGGATGATAGGCATTTTGCATATGGCTTGGGCCAGTGCTGAACCTCCCGTACCGAGCTGCATCTGGGACAATTTGAGAAGAACTTGAGGGTTGCGTCTGTGGAGGCGGCGGGATTGTGCTTCCCGGATGAGAATTTGCTGAATTTGGCTTGTCTGCCTTCTGAGCAAAGTGCGCCTGGAGGGCGTCAAATGTAGACGAAAATGGGTGACTCATGGTGAAATAATAAAGTGCCACATAAGTTTCTTGTGAGGAAAAAGGAGAACGGGACGGAGTCCTGGTCTACCTAGATGGTCTGAACTAGAGGGAGGCCGATGGCACGCAGCGTATCTAGAGAAAGCTAGCCCCAATCAGTCAATATGAACAGCGGAGGCTTGACATTGACCATTCCGGATGAGTTGTGAAGAAAACCGCCGGGGTAAGTAATGGAAGGTATCGCAAACCGTGTTGAAAAAGCAGAGAAGGTCACCGCGTGTAAGTGAAGATTTAAAGTACCTACCTAATGTATGTAGTTAGCTCAAAATTCTAAGTGGCAAGTCCCATCCGTTGATTAAAAACCCGACTTATCTACATACTTGGATGCAATTAACCGAGGTGCAACTAATAATGGGAACGGGTAAATTCATAAGCTAAGCCATCACGGTGGCTCGCCAGAAAACAGCATATCAAGGTGTAAACTCACTGCAATCACTTAACTGAATACATTTCTAGGTTAATGGCTTTGAAGGCGTATTGTCTTGGCTTGCGCATTACGACACATCCAGCTGGAAGACCCTTATATTTCATTTCGGATAAAGATGATGTTTACGTCTTAATAGTGTTAATCTGTACTTTACAATAACAACAACCACCTCCTGCTATCAGAGGGCCGCCTTATAGATTTTGTCATGGCCATCAAATCTCAACCTGGGCTTGCTGTCCAAACCTTTATCCGATGCGAAAAGCAAAATATTTTCCTAACCGCTCATATAAACTCTATCCTCATATCTCGATTGAAGAAATCTCTCAATCCACGACTAGGATGCCGAGCGGATATCGAGGATCCTCAGTGTGATTCGTGCCAATGCTTTTTTTTTTCTTATTTTCGTTCTTTTAAATTCAATCTTCAAATTGCGACAATTCAGTCGTAGTGGGCGAATATCGTCATTATTAAGTTACAGCGGCTAGCCCAGCTTGCCCTCTGCCTTGGCCTCTGTGTATGTGTTAGCAATTCCGTATAAAAGGCACAGGGAACGAATTTTATTTACCTTTGACTTGCTCGAATACCTTCAACATCTTCCTGCGAGCTCCGAGGGCATTGACACCGCGTTCTTCTAGAGCCTTATCATCAAGTTCAATCAGATCCGTCCATTTCATGTCCTTCAAATTGTCGGTGTACTTGTGCAGTCTTAGACTTCGAAGCCAGGCTGGTATATCTTGCAGAAGGGTCGGGTCGGTAGGATCCTCTGGGGGCTTCGAGGTTCCACGGCGTCCACGGGGCGATCGGCCACGAACCATATCCGAGTGGTCAGATAGGTAACCCTCGGGAACACCCACACCAAGTTGACCCATGTTGATAGCACCAAGTCCGTTGTTCAAGAGCGGGTTCTGTGCGCTATCGTACGCGCTTAGGAAGCCGTTATTTTGCGGAGAAGCAAAAGGCACTTGTCCGAAACCCTGCATTGCTATGCCAGGAGAGTTTGGACGAGATCTGTGGGCTGCGAACCCGCCCATGACTTGCTGGTTCTGTAGGGCAAACATCTGATCTCTATTCAGAACCTGGCCATGCTCATTAACCATGATAATGTTTGCGCCGGGGATATTTGATGCATGGGGTCCAGATTGCATAGAGTTCTGGTTCTGACCATGTGCGTCGTTAGAACGGGCTCTTCGGTACTTGCGTACATCATCAAGGGCGAAACGATTGTTGACTGTAGATAAAGCCGCGAGCTTCATTGCCGTCGCATTGGCCACCATATCTGCCTGGTTGGCGGAATTGCCAGTGTTAAATGTCGGAACCATAGGAGTATTCACCATTGAAGCCCAATTTCCACTTCCAGCAGCATATGGAGAGAGAAGCGGCAAATCGTTAGCCGACTTATCTGGGGCATTAAGCGTGGTACTTTGGATATTACCGGCGCCGCCCATTTGGGGTCGAGGCGATCTCAAACCTGCCGAAGGTGGGGGCTGAACAAACTGACCCATGGGAGTTTGACCAGATGACGACTTAGGTCGCGAGCCGCTTTGGTCATGGCTGTTGACCCAAGGAGACGCGGGATTCTGCGCATTGGGATCAAGTCCTTCGGTTGGGGCGGAGATGGTTGGTGCACCTAAGGGGCTTCGGATATCTACGGCTGTACTGTTGCGGTTTGAAGGAGGCTGGTTTCCGGTCTGTTGGGTAAACTTGGCCTTTTCAGTGGCAATGGCCGCCGCGGCATCAGGAAACATAGCATTTATAGTTGATGGGTCAAGCCCGGAGTGTCTCTTAGTCGATGCTTGTGGTTGCGAAAGCGAGTTCCTAGCTGATCCAACGTTCAATTTATTCATAGCATCGCTTAGACGATTCGACATGGGATCTATGGAGAGCCAGGTAGTTAGTACTATATCACGATAAATGGGACGGAACTATCGTTCAACATACCTTTGTCAAAATTGGCCGGGGAGAGCACGCCAGACATGGGATGGTTTTTCCCCATTTGCTGAAGGACCTGGATGAAGAAACGAATTTGGACCTGGGTAGTCTGCTGAAGTAAGGCATACAAAGCAGCAGTACGCTCAGCCTCGGACAGGACCCGAAACCACTGTTCAATAGCACTGAGTTCGTCCTTGAAATCCTGATCCAGGGTGGCGGCGGCCATTTCTTCTAGAGTTGTCTCGTACTGATCAATATCAGCAATCCATTGCTGGGTCACTTTATCCTGTGGATCTGCATCAGCGGCTCCTTGACCTTGACCTTGCTGGCCATAGAAGTCCGAAGAGGGACGGATACGGTTTGACGTTGCGGGACCAGCAAGAGCGGCCATATCAGCAGATGCGCGAAGGTGGTGATTATTAGTAGCGGCTGTTCGAGACGACGGCGGACGGAGTGACGAAGCCGTCGAGGCCTCCGGAGTACTGTTTCGGTTCATTTTGATAGTATCGTTGAAGTTGTAGATTCTAAAGGGAGTTTCGAGAGATATCGTAGCAAATGTTCGGAGAACTGCGAATGGTCGTCGGTAGCTAAATTATGCAGCGAAAAGCTAATGTTCGTGAATTTGCCAAGTAAAAATGCTCAGGTCTTTGCACAATAGCAAATGAAGCAACGACGGCAAGAATATTCCTTGATGATATAATCTGAATCTTGAGGAATTGTAGTTATAGTTGTTATAATAGAATACTGGAGTGATAGCGATGTCGATTATATTGCTAAATAGCCCGGCGAGGATTCGTGGTCAACTTGTGACACTTTTTCAGGGCGAAGAGACCGATGGGAATTAAAACGTCGGCGAATCAATTTAACGGGAAGTATAGCGTGAAAACTTCCTGTTATGTGTCGTTCGTGATGTGATTGACTTGCAAGGCTCGAGCTCAACTCTCTAGCAGAGAACGATGGTAGAATACCTTTTTCTTTCTCTCGAGAACTCCTGCAGTAGCCTGCTGACCTCAAAGGAGTCTTTGAAAGGAGGCAGTTGGGAACGAAGTGATTATTGATAATGCAGAATATTAGATAGATGACTATGAGAAGTATATGTTAGTAAAAAATGCATCGTTGGTTGAAGATCAAAGCCACCTCGACAGAGGAAGCGGTATGCCGGATGACTGATCTAATCCGATGAGGAATCTGGGTAGATGTAGGTACAGAATGGGCCGCATGGCATATGACAGTTCTCACGACATAAGAGGCAACGAAAGGCCAGTCAAACTCGTCAAACTCGTCTGACATGGCGGTGATAGGTGCTAAATTTCCACGGCCGTAATATTGTCCATCCAAAGGAATTTTAATTCGGAATTGAATGCGACGGGTCACGAGATGCGTAAGAGAAAAAAAGCAAGCAGAACTTACCAAGCAATAACACTGAGATCGACTTCTACTCCAGGGCCAAAAAGAAAGGAACCAGCGGCAGGGTCACCCTCGAGCTGCTGAGGAAGAGGATGTGAAGGAAAGGGAAGGAGAAAAAGAAGCTGTAGAGAATTGACTGGAGACTCGAAACTAGAGCAAAGGACTGGCCAGATTCGGGCACAAAGCCTGCTCTCTTTTCGGAAAGACCCTTGGCATAAAGGCTGCACCTGCTGCACCGCTGCACTGTTGCAGAGGCTAAGGATCCTATGGATCGAAGCACCAGCTTTCCAACAGAAGGCCGACCGCCCCGTAAACCGTAACCCTTTTTTTTAGTGGGTACATCTACCTACAGCCCGCCAGCCCGCTACAGTCCGCTTCCCGGTCGTGCAATGTAGATGTTGCCTTGAGTTCCTAACATATGTACATGTATGTAGGTACATTAAGTGTGCACTGCGTAAAGTAACGTCCCCTATCTAAGGCAGGTACATTATTTTTGGTAAGGCGTTCTTAACCTTATTAGTCGAACGCAGCTCGTGCAGTCTGAGCCTTGAGGCAAGAAGTGTCGACTTGCATGCGTCTAGACGGCTCAGCGCTAAAATTCAATCTAAATGTGCAACAGTAGCATGGTATAACGTACAACGTTAGGTAGTTACGTAGGTACCTAGGACCACCAATTGCATCAATTGCACCAACTGAAATAACGGCAATGACGAAGCCTTTTTTTTGGCCCGGAAGGCTTACGATTACAGCCCCTATGTATTACGTCCATTGTAGGTAGACGTAGGTACCTGCTGGAGAGGAGTCGTTGCCTCGTATGAAGTACAGGTCCCCTATTAGTGCGGCTAGGCGAACTCGAAACGCCTAGCTTGTCGGCTAGGGCGTGATCATCCACACACACCCTTCATGTTCCATCTGTCGAAGAACTACCATGTTTGCACGGCGGCTGTGGACTTATACGAATGACGTTAAGAACACGTATACGTCTCAATTTATGTGTATTTTCATATCATAACTGGAGGCTATTTCTAACGATGGTAACTATCTAAAACAGAAGGGTATGAAGTATATAGTCGGAGGTTGTCTCAAGTCGGTCTGAATCTTCGACACTGATACTCTCGATTGCATACCAAACTTGTAACTCCAAGTACCTAACAGATCTTAAGACATCACACATCCATTAGGATATATCTTATCCAAGTCAAGAAGCATTTTTAAGACTCTTCGTATCACGTGACCACAATCATGATACTAAATATGGTTCAGAAACCCAAGACAATTAGCTTGTCTACATCTTGTCCTATTAAGCAGATATACTACGGTATATAGGGATGCAATGAGTCCATTGACAAAATAAAATAGACCATCTAGGAATGTTGCCTAGTCTCCATGCACTCTTGCCTTAGAGCAGGTCGAAGCACGAGTGTTTGGTAATTGACTGGCGAACTGCTCTTGGCACGAGAAGAAATATCCTTCAGTAGATAGGCATGGGGTAGGCCTAGAACTGTACACACATATGCCATTTTGTCATCACGTATTGGTCCAACTTACGGTTATACTGGGCGCAACGGAAGGGAGAAAATTGCAGAGGCGCAGGAAATTCGTTGGCGAATGTAACTCAGTTGGTTACCTCTTCTTCTACTTCATTGTAGAAGACTGTGCCTGGATACAAGCAGCAAATGCATAACCTTGACTCCTTGATCATGCCTGAATGACCCCAAATCGTGCCCTGATGCGCATTCGCGACGTCGTGTCTCGGAACCCATTTATCCACCACCTCATGCCGTCTCTCGCTTGCCCTCCTTGAACTCCTTCTGTATTAATCGTCAGTATATGTTTATTTACGCACGCCACATATTCAAGTTATGCGTGTGCGATAGGTCGAGTGACGTACCAGAGCCTTCATAGTGCCGTGAAGAGCATGTCGATGATTTCTTCGGAACTTGGGGTCGGTTCCCTTCAGGGAAGGGTATCTGTTGGTCTTGGGCTTCTTGATACTACACACCGCCAATTCATCAGCCAGGATTCGGCGGGCATAAGCCGTCTAGAATGCCTCATCTAAACAGCTCTATCGACTCGAAATGGACATACCCGTTACGGTGAGCCTTGCGCGACTGGTTGTGCTGAGACGAGTTCTTGGACTCTATGATAAAATTGTGAGCGGGCCATTCGCTGACAATTAGAGCACAGCATTCTTAACTTACTCGCCATTGTGACTGAGTTGACGTCGGTTTGTTTGGGGAAACACGGTAATCGACGAAGGTTGATGTTGTCAGTGAAAAGATGGAAGTTCAGTTCGTGCGTTTGCTATTACCAGTTGTGGGCAGAAAATTAAGCGAGGGGTTCAAGCCACAGTGTTTTAACAAAATGGATGGTAGTGGCTGAAGAATTTGTGCTAGGGTGCCACGACATTAATGTACCTAAGTACTTTTACCTAGGTTTCAAAGGTATATGGTACCTGGCCTGAAGACATTAAACACAGAATTCATGGAAGCTATCGGAAGAAACCCGTCTCTCATAGCGAGTATATAATACAGTAGTGCTTTAAATTGTTCCATTCAATTATTAACCCGCGCTAAAACTATCGACTTAGGTACCTATAAATATGATTCTAAAACATCCCTAAAAGACATTCTTATATACTTGCGCCTAGTCTGCCTGTACTCCTAACTCATAATCGATGATATAAATGCATTGTCTCTTGTTCGGTATATACTTGCGTATATGTATTTTCTTTCGCCTCTAAAATTCTTCTCTAAGAGACTCGGCTACTTGGTTGTAACGGGAACGGCAAGCTTCGCTCTTGAAGCAGTGGCTGCCGCCAACTCAGCTGCTTTAGCGAGGTGTTCTGACCGAATCTTACGAACGTATCTGAATAGGAGGATAAATAGAAATTCCATTCTATAAGCCGAAGTTAGTACGTAAGCGCCCACGACTGATATAATAACTGATATAATAGTGTATTAAAACTTACCGCTCTTTGGTCATCATGAGTATTCCCTGTACCAGGAACCCCTTTACAATCTGGGGCCCAATACCCTTAAAAAGGCCTAGCAGACCTTCATGCTTGATAATAAATTGCATCACTTCGATGAAACCCTTAAATGGCTTTCCCTGACGTTGCGGTGGGGGTTTCGATTGCAAGCCAACTTTCGCAACTATTAGAGGTTGTGTAACAATTGTGGCTAAGGCTTTCGACATAGCACCGAGGACTATAGATTATGGTCAGTCTACTCTTTCGAATCATAGCAGGATAAACTTACGGAAAGCTTCTCCTGCAGTCAAGCGGGCCTTTCCAGGGAAAAAAGCGCCTTTTAATCGCTCATATGCACCATACGTGATAGCCGGGTTGACTACCAGAACCAAGCTAGCTTTTAGCCCCCTCCAAAGACCAAAGAAGCCATCCTCGCTTTCAATAACCTCGCGAGCCGTATCGAGGAGGCCTTTCCTATCCGCCTTGCTCTGTGTTTGCTGTCTCGTCGTGACCACGGCCACCGGAATCGTAAATAACTGAGCTACGGCACCAGCTATAGCGCCCAGTACCAACTCAACGGCCGTGGACGGCGGCGCCGGAACTTTCTGCGATTTGAAGTAAAGCTCTCGCACGATCGAGTACCAATAAAAGTAGGCGAAATTAGTCGAGGCGACTCCCAATAATGCGCCATTCATGCCCGCATATAATCCTTGGACTCCATCCTCCGCGGTAATCTTAGTGATAGCATCCCACGTCGACGTGTAATGAGGGTCGGTGTGTTCGCTCGTATCTCCGGGTTTTCGCTTAACCTGAACCTGCAAACGTGTCTTTACTCTGTAGAAACATATATGTAATTAGTACCAATTCCGCGCAAGTCCGAAGAACAGCTTACATATCCAATGGATAAACTAAGGCATTGGCTAAAACGGCACCCGTAGCACCAGCTACGGCGTAACCCCATGACGGTAGCGGAGCAGGTTTTGACTGCACAGCCATAGCAGCCAGTCGATATCTCTTACAATTAGATGGAGTATAGATGGAGTATATTCGCCTCAATCGAAGGCTCGCACTCTGAGAATGTTTTGGTTGATGGCGCCGGCGTTTATGGAACAAGATCAAATCGCAATTGACAAATCGAAAGGTGGAAGTAAAACTACCTGCACGAGCACGGATAAAGCCCTATGGTTAAAAGGGCACTCGGTTGCTTTTTGTTTTCAGTTGCTACCGCACCATGGAATATAGAATGAGGGATGCGATTCAAATGTCTGTATACATTTCCGTAAAAGACTAGCCCAGACCACTAAAAGAAGTAACTATAAAGGATGGAGAAAAATACTAATCCCCCGGGTCTGCGCAGGACAATGAAGCTGTCCTGACGTCGTCACTCCGGTGATGCGAAAATCGGGGATCTAAAACGCAAAGCCGAGTTTAAAAAGAGTGCCCGTGAATAATGGACCTCGGCCATTAATGGCTGGCCCACCCCCCGTCGGCAACTACCTAGTGTAGCCTAGGTAGGAATGCGCACGAATCAAATTGAATGCGGGAAGAGAGTGTAACCATGGAAGTCAGCCAAGTAATTGTGTCATTACCTTATGTAATAATGTCTCCCTTATCCTTAAGGCAGGTGCTTATCTGTGCAACATGATAGAAAGTTAACATAACAACTAATAAATCCACAGCTGGCAGCAGCCCAATTCATAAAAAAAAAAAAAACTCCGAAGGCACCATCGTGAATCGTCACGCTAGAACTCACAAACATGTTTTCAATGTGGGTTGGTAGTAGGTAGGTCAATTATCTCACCAGTTACCTATACAAACTTCTAAATGAAGTAACGTATCGAATTGTCTCTTTTACTTCGTCTCTTTTATATATATATACCTCCTATCTATATATTGATGTCATTCGTATTCATTCGTATCATCCACCCAGTTGGAGCTTTGCCCATACGATGAGATGCGTTGTCTCCTTGGGCCATGCCAGTTATTTATAACGTAACACCGTCTTCTTCGACACCTACCTACATAACTGAATCCCGTTTTACATGTCCTGGAGAGGTCCAACAGACGGGTTTCCGAGGTATATGATGCTACTGTTGTTTGCCAGTAATAGTTGACGTGGAGCTTCTAAATTGTGTCCCCGGTCTCTCTGCCTACTAAACCCCCCCTGCTCACCTAGCGAGCGCGGTCGATTCAGAACCCAGATGCCACTATAATTAAACCGGTTAAACCTATCCTCCATGGAGGCAAAGGCAAAGGTAATTAGCAATATCAAAGGAAATCATTCTAAATCTAACCGTGTTTAGGAACAAGAGGCATTGTCCTCTAGGACTCAAGGCAGAGAAGCCCTCGATCATGCTACAGCGGCTGCAGAACTGTATATGAAAGCAGCCCAAGTAGCATCCAGCCCCGAGGATAAAAGCCGTCTAATTAAGAAATGCCAGTCGTTACTCTCCAAGGCCGAGAACCTCAAGAAGTTGTCTCAAGCCGGGGGTAGCGTCGCTATGGTGGAGAAGCGTCTGAGGCTGCCACGTTCAGTACGCCAAACTCCTACGAGCGAGCAAACTATCCTACTTCGTAACTCTCGGCTTTACGGAAGTATCTTTCCTCCATGGGACTCAGATCCCAACCCTAATGAATTCAGCGGCAATGTTTATAGCGATCCTTCGAATTTTTCTTTATCCGCCCGCCAGGAAACCGTTTTCTCGGGCTGGAAACGACCCTTGGAGATTTTGGGCCGAGAGACTCCGCCGAATTCTGCTGAACAAAATAACGACTTCCTAATGGAGGCCCAACACGACTATGACTTAGTTCAGGACATAACAACGGACTGCTCTGTCGTTGCGAGCCTCTGCGCCAGTATGCGTCACCTGCGTCCGGGCCCTACATCTATCCTACCAGCCCTAATGTTCCCCATAGACTCCGAGAGCGGACAGCCAAAGGTTTCTACCAGTGGGAAGTATGTGTTCCGCATGTTCTTCAACGGCTGCTTCCGGAAAGTTGTCATTGATGATCGTCTCCCTTCATCCTCGACGGACCGCACCCTATACGTTGTAGACCGCCAAAATCCGAATCTCATCTGGCCTGCCCTTATGGAGAAAGCCTACTTGAAGGTTCGGGGCGGGTATGACTTCCCGGGAAGTAACTCCGGTACCGACCTATACGTCTTGACAGGTTGGATACCGCAGCAACTGTTCCTGCAGAGCGATGAGGTAGACTGGGACCGCACATGGAAGCGTGTCAAGAAGGCTTACGATTATGGCGACGTAGTAGTGACGTTAGGGACAGGGCGGCTCTCGCCGGATGAGGAGGAGACGTTGGGGTTAGCAGGAGAGCACGACTACGCGGTCCTTGACATATCCGAGACATCAGAAAGTAGGAGGTTACTGGTCAAAAACCCATGGTGCGACGGTCTCAGCTGGAAAGGGGCAAGGTCGTTCGACGCATCACAGCAGGCAACAGATGATCATCCAGTCAAGTTGAAGCCAGGCTCCTTCTGGATTAGTTTTGATGATGTGACGCAGAACTTCGAATCTCTCTATCTGAATTGGAACCCGAGCCTCTTCACCGAGCGCCAGGACCACCACTTCACCTGGCAGCTCCCCGAGGCCACTATGACTGGCTCCTTCGCACACAACCCCCAGTACTCTATGTCTAGTGCGGTAGACGGCAGCACCTGGATCCTGCTAAGCCGTCATTTTCAAGACGAAGAGCTCGATATTATGCGCAAGTACCGTGCTACCGACGACGACGATGCCACCATCTCCTCTCTCGCCGAGGTGTCCAGCAGACTCGGCTTTATAAGTATATACATATTTGCCAATAGCGGAGGCAAGCGTGTGCAGCTAAGCACCCAGCCCATCTTCCGCGGTGACTTTATAGACTCCCCGCAAACGCTCGCACCCTTCGAAGCCAAGCGTGGTATCACTTACACCGTTGTTGTCGCCGCTCAAGAATTACCCCTCCCAAAGTACTCCTTTACCCTATCATTTTTCTCGCGCGCTCCTCTCGTTGTCGCCCCAGCCGAGCCCGCCTTGCGCCACTACGTGGATGTAAAGGGGTCCTGGACACGTCGCACCGCCGGTGGTAACGCTGCTTCCTCCAGTTACCTAGACAACCCCCAGTTCAGCCTTGTTCTTCCCCGAGCAGGACCTCTTTCGCTCCTATTATCCACTGCTCGCGATGACCTACCCGTGCACATTGACCTGGTGTGGGCTGGCGGTCGCCGCGTCACGGCCGTCGGAAATCGTGATCTGGTCGTCACGTCGGGCGACTACCGGCGCGGCTGCGCACTCGCAGAGGCACCCACCGTCGACGCCGGTACTTACACTGTCGTATGCTCGACTTTTGAACCGGGCTGCCTGGCCGACTTTACACTACGCGTCGGTTCCGATACTGCCTGCGCTGTGGCCCCAGTGCCAGCCGATGCCGCAGGTCGCTTGCGCACAAAATTGCCGGATCTCGTGTTTCACGGTCCGTCTTCGTCGTCTTCGTCTTCCGACAGCGAAGTCCACAAAAAGAAGCGCGCCACCATTTCAGCAGCGCGGCTCACGCGCGCAAGCGTTGTCGTAACAATGCGAGATAACTATCGCGCCACGCCCCGAGGAGGAGGCGCCAGCACGCCGCGATCGCACCCCACCGTGCGTGCGAGCATCGAATACGGCACGGGGCCCGACAGGCTGATCATCGCGTCTACGGACAGCACCACCACCAGCACAGGCGAGTTCAGAGAAGTCGGCGCTAACGGGCTGCGCACGGGCGAATTCGATATCGATCCCCGTGGCCGCGGGTTATGGCTTGTTATCGAACAGTTGGGTCTATATCACTCCCCACCATCGATAGGTGACGGTAACGGTAACGGAGGCGAGCTGCAAGTGGAGATCCTCAGCGAGGGACCAGTACAGGTTGGGACGTGGGAGACGGTGCATATGTGACCTGACCTGACCGGGCTAAGTTGATCATTACGTGGTTTATTATTATCCGTATATGAATATCTACCTACCTACCCGTATACCCTTAGCGGAGAATGAAAACGTCGGCAACGAGTAGCATACATAAAAAGCGAGACGGAGGAGGTTACGAGCGGGTGGTCTACGTTGTATAGACGGAACCGGAGAAATGGCGTAGTGTGGTGGGTAAGGAACACGGGAATAAAGGAACAGGGGCTTGCTATGGTGCCTAGCGTACACACCGAACTACCTAGCTACCCCTACATATTTACTTAGAGACTACAGCTACCTACCTAGGTTACTAGCTACCTACTTAAGTAGTTATACAGCGATATTGCTTTTTAAGATTTCGAGGCGTTTATCACAAGGCAAAAGAGGGAGGGGGAAAAAAAAGAAGAAAAAAAGGTACTATATATTGATCTACTCTTCGTTTTTCTTCAGTCCCCTTCATTTATCGGGTCTTCATTCAAAAGCCGGAGTTGTCGTGGACGTGGATAATTGATAATTTATATTCTACGCTACCTCGATGGAAGACCGTAGATCGCTAGCTAGCTATACCTGCCTAAGTAACCAGCAATCTTCCCATCTTATGGCTCGCTGACTGGCAGGAATTTCCGTAGTAGTCAGCGTAGGTACATACGTAGTACCTCCTGCTACGCAACTATGCTCGCCCCTCCGGGTCTGAACATGAACATGAACATGAACATGAACATGAATACGGACATGGTGAGCAGGGCTAGATAGGTAGGTGGATTTCTCGCCCGGCCAACCAACTTAGCTAGCCAGCTATGTGATGCGAAGCACTCCTCGGCTACCAACCATCGTATAAAGGTTACCTAGCCCTATTCGGATTTGCCCCGACTTCGAATAGTGCATGCGGTGGTGAGGGAAAAAGGGGGGATAAAATAAGCGAATGAGTAGGTATATGTAGTGTATGTAGAGCAAAACGTGTAGAGCAAAGCCCTCGCAAACATAAAAAAAAAAGCAAAAGAAAAATAATAAGCCCATCAATAAGCACTCCCCTATGTGGTATAATTGGCTACGCCCAGAACGCCAACTCCTCCCGTTTGGTCGAGGTATGATCCGTAGAAGCCTCCCCCGGTCCCTCAATCAAATATCGACGACGCGACAACCAGCGTCCAAAGCTTTAGAACCAGCCGCCTTCCGGGATATCATCTGCACCATATGTACATCTAAAATAGAATGGCAATATATCGTATCGTCAGAAGCATTCATTCTTCGCGTTCCTCGTTTTTTTTTTCTCGTTACCCCGCCCCTCCAAGATTTTCACGGACCGCCGCGGCGTCTCCGTCCTCTGTTGGGTCCGTCTGGGCGCTGCGAAAGCACGTCGCGAAGGGCCGGATCATCCTTATCTTTATCGACATGGTGAACCCGTACGTGCCTAACTCTACGATTAAAATCCGCTTAATTTGCTTTTGTTAGTCCTGAAGAAATATCTCACCTTTGCAGATTATCTGGCCTGGGGTACTTGTGCTCTCGATCTGGACAGAACGGACACACGTACCCAGGCGAATCATGGACGAGACCATGACGGATCATTTCATTTTTACGCTTAAAGCCTTTCCCACCCTCGCTCCGCGGACATCCTTTTACAGAACAATAATGAGGACGAGCGGAAGAATGCACATTTGCATGTGAGTTGAGCAGATACTGTGTCTGAAACGGAGGCGCAGTACAGCCTGGTACAGTACAAACGAATGCGCCAACTGCGGGATTTGTCATATTATCAATGCTCATCCGTTCCGTGATAGAAGTGGCGGGTGTCGAAGCGTCACCACCGCTACCACCTGGAGTGTCCGCATTGCTGCCACTACTATAATCCTGACCAGATCGATGATGGTTTGTGTTATTGCCGCCTGGATAGAAAAAAGGACTCATAGCAGGGAGCGTGTGCGCTGGAGAAGGCATGCCTGGGGGGCGATACGCATCATTAGGGGATATCGGAGGTGATGCATGAATTCCGCCCATGCGCGGTGGGCCACCTGGAGGGGAGTGAGGATACTGAGGTCCGCTACGCATCGCTAGTTCTTTCGGAGGACCTGTGAACTGATCGAGTAGCTGAGCCCTTATAGAGGGCAGCGGATCGTGGTTGGTCGAGTCGGATTTCGGAGACACCTCTTGGATCGGAGGCAACTCCCCACGATCGGTGGGGGTATTTAAACCAGGCGGCGATCGAACATTGTTTGGATGCATCAGGACCTGACTTGGGGTGTAATTCCGAGGGGAATACATCTCCTGTGGGCCCTGCGACGCATAAGGAGAGATAGGCGCCTGAAGAACGGGCCTGTTTGCATCTTTCATCGCGATATCATCTCGTGCGCCATTTGTCCTAAAGGCTGGAGCGGGCGTCGCTCTTTGCGCAACTCTAGAATCGTCATCAGCTATTTGCGAATCATCCGTATCTACTGGTTTCGATGCCGCTTTAGCAGCAGCGAGCGCGTTTGTCGCGAGAAATTGTAAATCTATAGACTTTGATACTGTCGACTCGGCAGCACGAAAAGCACGGCGATGTGCAGGACCTGGGGACATCTCGTGACTCTTAGTATCATCCTCGTCCCCCGACTCGTCGACCGTTTCTTCCGTGTCCCCTTTACTTTGTCCGTCGTCCTCGTCCTCGTCGTCGTAATGAGCGAGCGGCCGCGACCATGCCTCGGCGACGATTTCGGGCCGTTTTCCGCCGTCCAGATAATGGATCAGCACAGCATCGCCGAGGCTCGGACGAACCTTTTGTCGTCGATTAGAAGATATCCGACCCGAGCTAGAAGAAAGACTGACTTTAGGAATAGGTAACGCCGGCGGGGAGGGCGAGGGTTCGAGTTTGGGGCGGTGAGCCTTCATCAAGGGACTGTTCTGGGGTAAAACGTCATCCGGATCGTACACGTCGTCGCTAGCTGAAGGGTCGTGAGCGAGGGCCGAATCGACGGTCGCAGTCATGCTTTCACTCTCTAGCATGGAATGGCCGTTACTCACGCATTGGGCGACTCAAGTCATCATCAGAAAACCAAAATAAAGATTGCCGGTTGTCTTGTGGGAGTTTAGATCAAATTGCGCTAACGTGATTTAACACTATCGAAGTCGCGGTCGCCCTCCCATTCGCATATAAGTGAAGCTGCGAAGTTGTGAAATGTTATCCAGGCGCACACCGGGTTTACCAAGTCGATTGGGCAGACAGGTTCGACCGTTTAGTTGAGTAACACCGCGCACTGGGCTTGTCTGCCGCAACGAGCCGCACACGGATTGGTGGGTTGGTGGGTACTTGGACCCTATCGCTAAAATACGGGGTGGTTGTGCGCGGTATCCAGCTTAGAACTGAGCAGTTCCTTGGCCAGAATGCGCAAATTGGCAGAGCCGGAGGAAAAGAAAAAAAAAGGAAAATAATAGAAATGAAAAAAAAAAGCAAGGGGGGAGTTGAAAAATAAAGAAGGAGAGGGTTCGGTTAGAAACAGACCTTTGGAGAAGGATGCGGTTAATGATAGATTTGGGTTAGACGATAGAAAGTAGATACGGTACGGTGACAGTGGGTATAACGGCAAGTAGTGTATGTCCTGTCCTGGATGGGGGATGGTTATGGGGGGGTGAAGGGATGGGAAGGGAACACGGAGAGTAGCTTGCAATGTGGATTTGAAGTTGCTGCCAAGGACTCAAGCCAGTATATCAAGTATATCCTCGCTGCCTCGTGACCGCCGAAGATTCGACTTGAGATTGGAGTGGTACGGTAGTGCTGCGTAGGTAACGTCGTGGTAAGGCAGGTCAAGTCAGGTCAGGTAAGGTTTGGCGCAAATAATGTAAGGCGGGGGAGAGATGCTGCGGAGCCGCGTTTTCTTCGCTCTTGACTTTCTGTCCAGGTTGTCTAGGTTGTCTAGGTTGTCTGGGTAAGTGGGATGGGGTTGATGGGCGCAGAAACATAGGCTGGCCAAGACTTTAGCCCTTAAGTCTTGGCTAGACGGGACCAGATAGGTTAGTCTACCTGTTTGACTAGTGTAGGTAGACAGGTAGCAGGGCCAGCAGGGTAGAGACAAGCAGGTGAGGTCGTTATCCTTGGATTTGGCGCTGGTAACCCGATGGGATCGGATCAGTCAAATTGCCAGATTGCGCCGTGTGATAGGCAGGTCTTAAAGGCAAAACCCGCATTTAATAAGACCGGGGGTTTATAAGCTTTCTGCTTGGACGAAGTTGCAGGGGTCGGTAATCCAGAAGGGATCCTGACAGGAAAAATTCAGGTCAGAAACGATGTCTCTTCCGTCATGTCGCTTCTGGGACTTGATGGATGGTGGGGAACCCTTGGGAAGCGGGAAGGGGGGGAAAAGAAAATGAAGTGTGAGGAGTTAGACCTGAAAGGATAAAAAAAAAAAAAAAGGAAACGAAACGATTAATGCAAAGCCATGTTACAAGGGTCCAGGGAAAGAGAAGCGGGAGATACATAATAGTAGATTTTTTTGGACTTTTCCTGGAAAGTGGAATACGCCAACGTGAATGTGGTAAGGCATTGACCTAACCCAGTGGTACATATACAATATACATTATACAGCAAAACCAAAAACAAATACAAATACAGCAATTATACATAGGCAGGTAATATAAAATAAGATGTTAGAAGGGCACGCCTTTTCCAGGGTTTCCCGTGTCTAAGAGCCCAATTGAGGGATGAGTCTGGGGATGTTGTACGAATGACTCCACTGATGGTAAGAGGTTGAACGGACCAAGAAGGAAGAGGCGTGCGGCGAAGAATGCGGCTGCGAGTGGATGATCCAAGGACTGGACCTGCCCATCAAGTCCCAAGGAAAAGAAACATAAAACATAAATCACTTACCGCACTGGCTGACTGGTAGCACGAGGTATGTACAAGTACCTTCGTATATCTGCTCTTGTATTTAGGTATTCATGTACCGGCGTACCTATCGGGCAGCGTATCAGCGTACCCACGTAGTACTCCAAATCTTTTGTACCTATTGTACCTGCCGCCTTAACTGGGCTATCCCCGTTTCCGCCGTCTAGCGGCTTTTTTAGCGACTTTTCTTGCTTAGCGACTTTCCAAAGCCTCATCAACAACCCCGGCTTTCGATCCTGCTTCGGTGCGGCAGCGGCAGCCTCGGCAGCTAACCGTCCTTCCCAGAGCTCAGCAGAAGAGCAATACAATTGTGTAATTCACAATCCCACTGCACTGCAACTGCAGCAATCCAGCGATCACTCACTCTGCAAATTCGCTCAAGAGTCAAGTCCTGCGCTAGTTACTCCTCTGTTATATGCAGGTAGGCAATGTTTGTATTATACGTTGTTATGTTTGTATGTATGTGTGAATACAGGTGTACCTACATATACGTATCAGTCAGACGACGGGGAAAATCGACAAACGAGTAATAGCGCGGACGGACTTGATGGGCGAGAGATGCGTCCAACTGGGTGAGTGTACGAATAGAGTGGAAATTTGACGTCGAGTCGGGTGCGTCAGATGGGACTAGAATATCTAGGCCGGCTTTTTGCGGGGATAAAGGCACCGATCAGACAAATGCAGCGCTCGCTATGTATGTTGCTATGTAGCAGGTAGTATTGGAAAGATGCGGCGATCCAGATAACGATCCAATATTGATTACTGGGAGGGGGGCGTATGGCCGTATATCAGTAGAACTATTACCAATGCCCTTCATTCAGACGTATTTGGACGTCATATAGCACAACTCCCATAGGATAGTGGAGGTCCGAGAAAGAGGGCTTAGCAGAGCAGAGCAATGGTAGCGAGTCGAGAGAATCACAGAAAAGGGGAAAGAAAAGTATATGAGACAGAAGGGAAAGGTGTATTGCACCTCTACATTTCTACATAGTTATTCACAAGCGTGAATTTGCTCGTAACCGCGGCGAGAATTTATGACACATTATCTTAGGTAGGCAGGTTACGGGGTGGGTTTTGCGAATCTGGGGACTACCTACGGTCTGTGCCTCTTGGCTATCCATTCAATACGCACGAAGGTGAGCGGCAGTAGGTATCTATCTTCGTGCTGATACAAGGCGACTCGATCTATGTAGGATGAGGCGGGGTCGCTTCGCATATATTCACTCTCCATACATTACATATTATGTATGTTATGTGCAAGAATGCGGCACGACCGGATCTATGGGAAACTAATAGGTTTCAAATTCGACCTAAAGATAATCACTCAGGATATCTATTATACCTTAGGTAGTTAACTATTCAATTATCAATTATACTGTATTGTATAATGTATTATATCACATAGCTAGCAGAAATAGGGAGGGGGGAAAGGGTTCCAAGGGAAGGGGAAGAGGGGGGGGAATCCCATAAGAGCTGGAAACGCCAGAACAAACACATTAACTACCTACATAGGAATTAACATATTACGTACATCAGATAGCCAGTAGGATATTACATACCTAGTAGGAGACTCATAACGAACGAACAAACTAAATACTAAATGGGGGGATGTGCTTTCAGCTTCCGAGTCTGGATATGACGATTAATGGGGCCAATGTGTGTAAAAGAACGCATCTACTATGTATTATTTGTCTCTCTAACAACGTGCCGCCCACGCAAGAAAAGGGTGGGATTTGCACGATTCGGTAGCACTATAGAAAAAGCCACTCAGAACGGACCAGCTTGGAGTATATAAAAGGGTCTAGCCCAGTATATGTGACGTGGAGTGAATAAAGTACATATGGCACGATGATTGATACAGCCGCATCTGCAAGTCGCTGACCGCAAGACCCGGCAGCCCTCTTGATGCATGGATGCCTGCGGGAAAGGGTATTATTATTGATGTGTCTTATTTTTCTTATTAGCACATAGGTAGGAGGGTTGGGGATCAGGCACGCCTGCGACCTTTAGCTGCACTTTTTCTGTTTTAAAAAAAAAATAAAAAAATAAAAAATACCACCGAGACAATATAATTAGACGTTAAATGTCGGTAGACCGCAATGCGTCACTTATTACAATCTTGGGTTACGATCCCGGTAACAGAAAGAGGAGTTGTGCAGGGTCTTTGGCCGCTCACTCTGTGGGGACATATGGACATACCTACCTGTACATAGAATAGCATGGGAGGCCTCTTCGAAATCGACCTTAGACTACCTACTTGCCCAAAAAAGGTATGCCCGCGCGCGCACGAGAAAAACAAGAGAAGAAGAAAAAAAAAAAAAAAAAAAAAAGGATTCGACAGGACAGGACAGCTCCAAGTCTCTCTCTCTTTTTCTCGTTAGCCCGAGGCTCTCGCTTCACTTCAGCTCCAAGGTGACGAGTGGGCCGCAATTCCGGGCACACATACATACATTAGTAGACGAATACTAAGCTCGAACTATCCAATAGCTCGAAGAAGAAGAAGAAGGGAAAAAGGGATAAATACCTATGATGACGAAAATAGTCCGCGGTCTACATATTCGACTTGATGCCGAGGGATTGGCTGTGCGAGAGTAATTCGCTCCGAGAGGATCCCCGTATGAGTGAGAGATAGAGATAATTTTGTGGGGGGTGGGAAACATACATACTTGAAGGAGGGAAGAATGGAGGGTCCCGTACCACATACATAGCACATACAATACCCTACTACTCCATGTCGTCGCCAACAAATTAGATGCTTCAAACGCCAGACTCACCTGCATGATAAATGCCCTCATCCATGTACTCCGCCGCATATACGTAAGGTATATGTAGGTAGTCATAGGTATAACCCAGTCATAATATTTAATAAGAGATCGCAATGTGTCTGACCTAGTGTAGACTCAGACCAAGTCCCATGTATGACGGTTATTAAGGCTTCATGAGACTCCTCTTCTCTTGTTTCATCTTGGCTATTTATCTCACACATACACGTACAAGCTTACGGCTTCTACTCGTCTTCTATATATTATCCAAGAATATGCCAACCTATATATATCTATAGCATTAGCCTTTCATCATCCCATCATCCCCCCGCAGCTCCGAACCAGGATGTATATTCATGCGTCTCTCTCTCGCACGTCCTCGCGGACTCGCGTTTTCTCCAATGCTATCGCAAATAGTCCGGCCTATGTAGGGCCGGGAGGCAGGACGAAGATCGGCTATGCTCGTGCTCGACTTCTAACGTACTATGTATGTATGTAATTGGACCTCACAACGGTCATGACTGGTTGCCTATCAAGCCTATGACCTGCACGACCCAGAAAGAGAGTTATTTTTCCCACGCCGTCCGCGGCTGGCTGATTCATGTGGTGATCCATTGCCGTCAATGGGTAACGTTGCCGGTGCAGAGTCTGCGGACCCCAAAACCACCCTTTCTACATGCCTCCTGGCAGTTTGCATTAACTGCTCCATTTAAAAAGCTCTCCCATCACGACTTACCCCAAGCCCAACACCATGACTAATGCCATGGTGCGTGTGATAGTTGGTCTATAAACTACATAGTATATACTGTATATGCATGTATAATACGTATAGCGTACATAGTATGTAGAGTCGTACGCGCGACTAGTGAGGCGGTGTCCGATTAGGCTGGCGGCTCAGCGTACACGATGACGCCTTGCAAACACCTAGCTGTCACGATTGGTCCCTTCGGATCATGTCTCTAGAGACAAACCGCCATCGTCACATCGCATCATTACCTAGGCAATTCATCTTCTCCCTTTACTATACCTGTGGCTTCCCTTGTACGCCCTCTGTCGTCGGGAGCGGCATGGAAGAACCTTGCTTCAGATTCCTTGAAACCTTCATTCAGCCGCTTCGGTTGACCTGCATTGGGGGCCACCTCGCTGAGCCTCCTATGAGCCGCACCCAACTAACACATGTCTCCCGGATGTCCAATTAAATTGACACAAGAGGGTAGGACCAAAACTTTTTGTATAACCCTCAAGCCAACCAACCACTTGGGCTGGATGACTACCTAACCTACGTACTCCAGCAAGCGGATAGGGATATATGTATGTAGGTTACATGCTTTCGGGCTCCGCTCCGTAATCAGCAGCTTGACCACTCTGCACGATAGTGGCGCCCCGCGAAAATCGTCTCCACAGTGCATAAGTGATAACCTAGAGGAGTAGGGCTCTGATATGGTACGAGTTTCTTCGGAGCCTGGCGCTCGGCGCCTCGTCTAGCTAAGCCTTGAGAGGAGACAACTCCGGCTGTTTATGAGTACGTAGAACAAGACAGAACGCAAGGCGCCACACTGTTTTAGAGAGATAACTTGAGGTGAGATAATGTAAACGTGGTGGATAATAGCGTATCTCGGATACATCGTCGCTTACACGTGGAGACGTTTGTTGGCCGCGCTATATTGCACCGCAGGACACCGTCATATCTCTATTCATATTTCTAGGTCTTCATATCCACTTAGGCGTAGATTATAGCGACCGGTTGCTCTTATGCGTCAGTCATTACGACTTGATCTTGAGTGTTGCGCGTACACGATCGTGCTACTTATCGGGACTACTAGTCGAGTGTTTCCAAGTCCTTCTACATCGGTTAACCTGACGAACTGGAAAGGCTGTGTTGTGTTAGACGGTGTCTATCTCTGTATTAATATACTGGCCTTGGACTGTTTTGAAACCCCTTTGCGGGGTGCTGCCGAGAATATCATTGCTTAATTACGAACGTCAACTTTTGAAGAAAGTAGATGAGACAACGGAGAAACCCCAAGGGATCCTTAGAATCTGCAAACGCTAAGTGTCAGGTTTGGACATGTAGGTATGGCTAGGGATTTAATCAGAGGTCTCAAAACACCGAGCTGGAAGTAAACCAAAATTGGTGTTCGTGAAGATACCTACATATACTAGGGTTACCCCACTCGAGATAGTATATGTACGATCCCCCGCATTCTCTATCGAAATACATAGCGAACTGGTGACATCGAAGTGTCGTAAATAGGCCGAAAGAACACAACGGCTACACTGATACAGAATCAGTAGTAACAAGTCCAGTAAATAGATATCCTTACTAATCTAGACAGAAGTCGGAAATCCGTAACTAACGTGGGCTTCTAGTATCTTATTGCTAAGGCGTATCACGATGGAATTGCCCCTTACGATGAATGCTGTCGTGTTCGACGGTCCGTACAAGGTTTCGCTTCAGCAACGGCCGGTGCCCAAAATACAAGACGATGGAGACATCATAGTCAAAGTTGACGCAACGGCTCTCTGTGGATCGTGCGTATTATGTAGCATATTGCTTCCCTCCCTAAGCTAATTAACTAATTCTTAAACCCCTTAGTGAGCTTCATACGTTCAGAGGCCACCAACCCTCGAACACAGGATTTATTATGGGCCACGAGTTCGCCGGCACGGTTGTGGCAGCGGGTAGCGATGTTAAATCTGTCAAGATTGGAGATAAGGTGGTATCTCCTTTCACCGTGTCCTGGTAGGCTAGACTGTGCTCTACATGCGATTTGAATAATCCATTAATATGCTCCGTAGCATGAACTGCTTTTACTGCATAAATGGGTATTCGTCTCGGTGTGAACATAGCTTATTGTTTGGCTCGGAAAAGCTGGATGGCGCTCAAGCGGATTATGTGCGAGTACCCCTTGCAGACGGTACGGCTATGAAGGCGCCACCCGAGATCGACGACAATGCGTTGGTGCTCATGGCAGACATATTCCCGACAGGCTTCTTCGGCGCCAGGAATGCATTCAATAGCCTCGGTTCGCAAGATCCGTCCGAAGCCACAGTGGTGGTTATCGGTTGCGGACCGGTAGGACTGTGTGCCATAGTCTCTGCGCTGGAGTACAAGCCGAAACATCTATTTGCCATTGATAGCATCGATAGCCGTCTTGAGCTCGCAAAGGGCTTGGGTGCAGAACCCCTTAACTTTGCGACGGACAGGTCGGCTATGATTGCTCGAATCAAAGAAGCCACAGATAGCCGAGGAGCAGACGCAGTTATTGAAGTAGTTGGCTTAAGCCCTGCCCTGAAGACGGCGTTTGATGTCCTGAGACCTTTCGGTTTCATAAGCAGTATAGGCGTCCACAATGCCGAGGTAATCTAGCCCCTAAGGTATACCCGCTCACGTACTTCCAACTAACAATTCGCTCAGATCCCATTTAGTGGTACTGAAGGGTATAAGTACGCGGTATCTTAGCCCACATTTGAGTTTTCTTATGACTGACACTGGCGTAGCAAAAACGTGAGGTTACAGATGGGAAGATGCCCAGTTCGTTCGATATTCGCCGATGCACTCAGCGTCCTTGCAAGAAACCAACATAAGTTTGGGTAAGTTAGCTCTTCTTTGCCACGAAGCTTGAGTCGACAAGCTATCGGCACTGGCTAATCCCTAGCAGGTTCATGTTCGAGAAAATCATGCCCCTTTCTATGGCCGTATCCGGATACGATCTGTTTGATAAGATGAAAGTGCAAAAGGTGATTTTCAAGCCGTGACTGAAGGACAGTTTGGAGTCATTGCAGACCCTCGAGCGGAACAGAACTGCTCCTCCTAAATTTAGTTCTGCCGAGGCTTGACAATACCATCATGCATGAAGTAGTAAACGACGGTAGAATCATCATGTACTGTAGCGAGTAGTACTCTTTTAACACGATGCGGAGAAGCTGAGTTCTCTGGTGGCATGGAATCAAAAACGCTTGCGAATGCCTTCAGTGTCCATTTTTCGGCCAGGTGAACTGGTAGTACCCATTCGGTCACAGGTGTCTCCGGAATACTCCCTTCCGGGTTCGGGTGGGATTTAAGCATTTCAATCTGATCATCTGGATGTAAATAGAGTCGACGGGGAGGTAGTCCAGATATTAGGGGTCGCGGCAGAGGTAAGTCATCCACGGGGGAATGAGTCAATATTTGTAGCTCAGTCCAATCATGTTGATACCGAAGATTGTCAAGCACCGAAACCGCAAGATTCTCAACGCAATATTTCTCGGCCATGGCGAATATTTGTGTGTTAGAGTCGAAATTGTAGTTGCATGGCAATTCTCATACAAATTAAGGACCCTTTTGGCAAGTTGCAAGCTACAAACTACGACAGGAGCTTAGGACATAAAGGCGGTGTAAAGCGGCACTTATACCTTAGGTACGGATTAGATAACATTAGATAAGGTACTTTATCAATTTTAAGGTTTCGAATCTGGAGCTACATGTGCTCACCTGCCAGATTATTAGAACCACAAGTCAGGCATTCAAAATATAGATTTAAATGTTTCATCTCAATTTTCTGTTCGTGATGGTACACTGACGGCATTCCCCGACCCCAAATGGTGCCCAAATTGACATCACATGGGACCATACGTAAGGAGTAAACTGAGACCGTACGCGTATTATATCGCTACTTATTGGCCCTTAAAAGCCCAAACGCGTTCACAATATGGACTTGGACAGACTAGTAATAACGTATGGCAGCGTCTCGGCGAGGATCATATCCGAAATTCGCTCTTGCGTACGTATTTCAAGTGGCAGTCCGAGAGGAGAGCCACGCATATGGCTGTGCAACTTTCGAGGCGCAGACCTTCAAACCGTTACACAGTAGTTGGCTAGAGAGATCTAGACCTTTTCTATTTCTACAATCTTTGAAGGTGTCATCGAAATGCGGAATCTCGTTCTAGGTACGAATTACTTCGTACACGCCTAATGACGCATAACTCTATATCTCGACTTGCGCCTCTTTTCTTTAGGGTTTGGGACTGACATTCTATTGTATGTAATAATATGTTATAGGGTTGATTATATTATCTAACTAAATGTAGAACTAGTTGCAGAATCATTCATATTTACCTATATATTGTAGGATGAAATAGTATGAATTCTCCCATCTTTGATTACTGACTTGGCAGCTTGTGAGACCAGTAAGTATCTAAAAAGATGCATATACCCCTGTTCCCGATGTAAAGGAACAAGTTGCACTCGGAACAGTGACCAGTCATAACCAAGTATTTTAGGTGCCGAGGAAACCACTAAAGCCTAACTTACACTAGCATTGTACCTACCAAATTATTCGTATCGTTCGTATAGGTACCTATGTACATCGTACCTCTCCTTATAGTGCCCAGTACACCAAATCCTGTTATGTTACTTTTGACGTCTTTTTACTCGCCTTCAGCATTTCAGCATACTCATTCACCATTTCACTTCCCTTACTATATATTATTATAATCGATACTTTACCTTTATACCCTCCTTATTAACAAGGCAATCACGTCGAGCCCCGATACTACAAAACGAATCAATCGGACCGTGCCATCACTCTTCAGCTCTTCATTTCGCCTCCCTTTTCGCGGCTATACCTAGGTACAATTCAAAAAAGGCCGATTAATACCTACCACGTCTCACTCTCAATCAGATCGCAACGCCACCCTGCATCGTCTCGCGCTCGAAAGCAAAAATCGTATAACTTATCGGCTTCCGGAAGGAGCAGAGGCGTCTCTTGAAGATGTCACTAGATTCGCCCAGAATATCTAAAGAGGGACAAGAGGATACCGTTGATCGGGCTACGACAATCTCAACAGCGACGGACCAAAATGATTCTCTAAGTCAACGCACGCCAATCGTGTCGACGCAGGCACAGGAGAGGATAGGCAGCGCAATCGCATCTAATGTCGCCGCTGTTAACGTCCAGGTGCAAGAGTATGCGAATGGATATCACTTTCCGCCGAAATATCCAATAAAGGAGCAAATACGAATGGGTCTGGTTTCGTTCTGGGAATTCTACAACACTGGATTCGGCTTCTTTCTCACCATCTACTCCCTTAACGTCGTGGCTTGGGGTGGCATGCTCTTCCTTCTTCTATGCAATGCTGCGCCAGAGATGTGCTGGGTGGATGGCAGATTTGACTGCAATGATATTGATTCGCCGCGCAGAATATGGATTGAGACGGACTCTCAAATACTAAACGCGTTGTTCTGCGTAACTGGCTTCGGCTTGGCGCCGTGGCGCTTTCGCGATCTGTACTTCTTGTTACGGTATCGTCTTCAGGGTGATCACAAGGCCCTACGAAGCTTAGCAGGCGTTCATCGTGGTTGGTTCCGTCTTCCCGGTTCCGAACAGCTTCCTACGTCTCTTGGACCGAAGAATATCGAGGAGATGATCGGAAGCTACAACGTTGATAGCGTTCCGTATCCCCTAGAGACTATATCAGATGCTCCACCAACAAGCATCCGGGCACCTCCGACTAAGATGTGGAAACTGGATTTTATTATCTACTTCAATGTTGCCAACACGTTTCTACAGTGCGTTCTGTCAGGTTACATGTGGGCCTTAAATCGGTACGATCGACCTAGTTGGTCGACTGGTCTATTTGTTTGTCTTGCGTGTATCGCCTCCGCTATCGCAGGTATCATGATGGGCGTTGAAGGGAAACATGTTAAGGCTATCGAAGGTGTCCCTCTAACTAAGAAGGATATTGAGCGTCTAGCGCGTGATAAGCAACTGGGTATTCCTCATTATAATAACCTTGGCGACAAGAACCCCGAGGAAGAGAAAGAGAAGAAGATGAAGAAGAAGCAAAAGCAGCGATTTTGGAAGGCCAAGCAACCTAGCCTCGCGAGTGATAATGAAAGACAAGCATTCTGTGTTTAAATAAGGCGTTTTGGCAAGTTTTTTTTTTATACCTAGACGGCAGACTTGGTGTTTACTAGCATATTTATTTTTTGAATAATATACCCTCTGGCGTTGCAAAACGCAAATATGTTGTCGAGTAATTTACAGTTTACAGGCTATAATCGGGCATACGATATTCAAGCAGCAGTCTTTCTGCTTTGAGAATGGGCATAACTAAAGGATGGTACATGTAATGATAGCAAAGTGTTCACGAGATCGATTTGGTGAGCACCTGCCGGCTCCAAGATGGGAAATTCCGCAGCTTAGATCCGGGGGGTTTATAGCTAAGCCAATTAGAGCTGAAGTTGATATCGTAAGGCTAATCGGCTGACCAATGCGGGGGCAGTTTCTGGTCCCAGCTCTTGCATTATGTAGGGTATTGTACGTACAGCAGTACCCAGCAAGGTACACGCGCCTTCGCATTCGGCGACTTAGCCAAGGTACCTATGTAAATTACCTAAGACGGGTGCAGTTAAACGTTATCAGTCAGCTATCAGCTACGCGGTGGTCCCCTACTCTCTGACACAATCTTGGAACCTTTACACGTCCTTCCTCGCCGCCACCCCCGAGGAGCTTCGCCTATCTACCGTAGCTCATCAAAGCTGCCTCGAATTAATTTGGTGCATCTATCATATCTCATTCTTTTTCTTATCGTTGCAATTACATTACTCTCGTTTGCTCAATCGTAACATCCCCTGTCTGTCTCTTGCTGGCACAAGACCACTCCTTTGCGAAACCCTCTGTGAATAGCCAGTCATCATGGCGCCAAAGGCCCTTGTCCCTCTCCTGGTGGGCATGATGCTGCTCACCGGTGTCTGCAATACGCTATTTACCAAGTACCAAGTAAGTTCAACCTAACCTAACCTCGCCTCGGCCGTAGCTACCTAGACATTACGGTTCGCTAACCGCGATCGTGCAGGACAATCAATGCGTCCGGAACTGCGACGATCCCGATCCCAAGAAGCGGCAGCGGTTCGAGCAGCCCGTGCTCCAGACGGCGCAGATGTTCATAGGAGAAGTCGGATGCTGGATTGTCGTCGGGCTAAGGCTCCTGTATCAACGCTACGCGAACAGGAAGACTCCGGCTGCCAACGGATACCAGGCAATTCCAAGGGGGGACGCGGAAGTCGACGATAACGATGATGCTGCCAGCGTCAATTCGGAACAGGCGCTTATCCACCCTAATCCTCCGGATAAGAACAGTGTCGGTGTAGTCGATGGGCCCCTGAAGGGTTTTGGTATATTGCTCCTTGCGCTTCCGGCCATATCCGATATTCTCGGCACGACGCTTGTGAATGCAGGTCTGTTCATGGTAGCTGCCTCGATCTACCAGATGACTCGTGGTGCCTTGGTGCTATTTGTCGGTCTGTTCAGCGTTTTTTTCCTGCACCGCAAGCTGCACTTGTTCCAATGGGTTTCCCTCGTTGGCGTCATGATCGGCATTGCGCTGGTTGGACTTGCGGGTATTATCTGGCCTGATGCCAAAGCTGAGGCCACCAATGCCTTGTTCCAGGCCGCAGAGGATGTTGCTACCGAGGAGGGCCTTCGTGCTGCGTTGGGTGTCATGCTTATTGCCTTTGCGCAGATTTTTACCGCTACACAATTCGTCCTCGAGGAGTGGCTGCTAGAGCGTTCCAAAATCGACCCCATCGAGGTTGTTGGCTGGGAAGGTCTCTTCGGTCTTGCTTTTACTCTGATCGGCATGCTGGTACTACACCTCACCATCGGGAGATCCCCTGCTGGCCGCTACGGAATGTTCGATATGGTCGAGGGTTTCCGACAGATGACGGAGTACAGAGCTGTGTGGGTGTCCAGTTTACTAACCATGGTCTCTATTGGGTAAGTTGAGCCCTGCACTATCACATCTTGATAATAGAGATACTAACTTCGTTGCCAGTGGTTATAACTTCTTCGGTCTCTCAGTCACTCGCAACGTCAGCGCAACAGCGCGGTCGACTATTGATAGCTGCCGAACGCTGTTCATTTGGATGGTTTCCCTCGCTCTCGGGTGGGAAGCATTTAAGTGGTTACAAGTTGCAGGATTCGTCTTGCTAGTGTACTTCACTTTCTTGTTCAACGGCGTCGTACGTCCGCCGTTCAAATTCCTCGAGCCAAATGAGGAAATAGACGAGTTACTCCCCGAAGAACCTATCGAGCATAACTAGATTGCCCGCAAAACAAATTGGATTACTTGATGCTGTCTAGGAGCACGCTGGGCTGGACCTAATTATTGTGGATGGTTAAACAGTGGCTAGGGCTTGTGAAGATACATGTTTCTGCATTGAGATGGCGTTGGTTGGTATCAGCATGTTAGTGGGTTATTTTGCTTGTAATATGTGCTTCGGTTGGAGTACTTTGGTTTCGATCGGCGGATCTTTTTGTTTGATACAGTCTTCTAAATTAGAAAGCAGCGTAACCATCACTATACATTCTATTATTTAATTTTCTACTTCCGTTCGATGTCACTTGCTGAGAGGGTTAGGCTATTCGTTCTGCTAGTAGAGTTAAGAGGAGACGACTATAAACTATAAAGACACTTATCCATCCTAATCCGTACGTACTTCGTAAATACTCCTTATAGGGTTTCTCTGGGCTATAATTGCAGGTGGTCATACAATACACTCACTACCTATCTTTCAAGCATCAAAGTTCCCGGCCTACAATACAGATATGTTAGTAGATAGATATGCAGTGTCTATAGTATCGGGCTATTTCTACGCTCCATATCAACACATAACATTCAATGAGGTTCAACTTTAGGATAATAGTACCATCGCTATATAAGTACCTAACCTAGGTAATTATACCAGTTAGTTAATAGTAAACGGGGCCCAGGCATTCTAAAGCAAGCAACAATTTAAGATGCTGGACTATCTATCAACCTGTATAACGCCCCGTTAAAGAAGCTTTGTAACGTAAGGGGAAGAAGATCTCTGCCCAACCCCTCGAAGACCTCTACGGCGTTGATGCCGGGTTGCGCGTTGTACACACGTTCGCATGAGGCGGGACCCTTGCCTTGCCCGTCTAAAACCACCACGCAAACTAGACCACACCGGACCCGCCTGCGATAACCCACGAAAACGCCCAAGCAATGCATACCCATGTTGAAAATAGACTAGATCGCCCCTTTCTCTATCCTACCCGTCCTCACTCGTCATATTGCTGCTGCTGTATCCGACCAAGTTCGATCGAGGGAAGAAAGGCGACCAGATATCTAGCTGACATTGCACAGCAGCTCAGCCTCGAGGATGAACTTGCCCTCCTTGTACTTCTCGCTCGACTCGTAGGCGCGGTCGTACTTCCAGCCCACCGTCTCCTTGCACTGCTTGCACGTGATGTCCCGCACGATATGCCGGCCGGTCGTCATGCTGCGCTCCGACGGCTCGCCCGCGTCCACGTTGACGACCGTGTTGAAGAGGTAGGCTTTGCCGTGCTGCCCGCGGAAGTTCTGGTGGTTTGGGAGGACGAGTTAGCGAGATGGGCTTTTCCCCAAAAGTAAATAGGTGGGTGGGTGGGTGGAATGCTAGATGAGAAAGAAGGTTCTTGTGATATAAGGAAGTAGATAGATAGAAGGCTGGGATTGGGAATGGGATAAGGATAGGATGGGGTATGACATGATATGATATGATATAATATGATGACGTTACAAAGCGAGGGATATCATACCCGACTTATTATCTCTTCGTGATTCGCGAGGTGGGCTTTACAGTTCTTGCATCCATATATTTTGTTACTATCAAGATACGTGTTGTACGCAAGACCCATTGCGGCCGATATCTATCCACGCCGACCGCGTGTGTTCCGTTGGTTAGGTAGGTTACCTAGTTCTGTTTACCGATATATCCGATCCGACAAAGGATTCCGATAAAAGGTCCTTGATTTTCGATCGATGTGTAGGTAGGTACCTAGGTAGCTAAACGAGCTGATCGAGTAAGTATCGCGAGTTTTCGAGGTTGACTGACGATGGCACTGGGCGAAGATATACAATAATAGTGTATTGTATATACGAGGGGCGGACGTCTGTATCCGAGAGGAGCGATAAACGTAACGTAATGCCTAACGGTGAGCGCAAGGACCAAATCCGAAGGCCAGATAGATCGATCTTATTGGCTCTATTTCTTTGTTTGTTTACTCCAGTTAGTTACAAAAGATGTTGGCAGCCGAAATGCATAGTAGCTTGTACAGTGGAAGAATTACGAAAAGACCAAAGCGTTTATGTAGGAACAAACCAGCCTCATGATGCAGGCGTGATGTGGAGTCTTTCGGGGTTGAGGTCGTCATCTGGAGAGGCTTGATGTATGTAAGCTGCTACCTAACAGCTGGAATTGCTTATCTTACGTACGTAGAGTGGTACTTACTTACGTAGGTAGGTCCTTACCCCGCTAACGTGGTATTGTAATGCGGCATGGGCTGCAACTTTCGTATGGGGTAGTTTATCTTACCGCGTAACTACCTGTTTTGATTTATCTTTGTGGAACTGGTCTAGGTTGTATTGCGAAAGCGTTGTTGAATCTAAAAGGACTACGGGACCTCGTCTGTTTATATAATCGGCCCTGTGGGCCCTGGGGGCCTCGTTCCTTCGCTTGATGCTTTACCCGTGACTCACGATCGTGACGTGGACCACCTGCCAACAATCTTCAACACTCAACATCACTACATTCACTCGGCAAACATTCCCATATAAATTCGTACCACCTTCCTTCTCATACCTGAGTTGTCTCTTCTTCACACCAAACATTTGTGATATTCTAGCTCGCATTTTATTTCGTAGCAGCAGACTAATGTTTCTTTAGAAAGCATGAGTAGGCACCTTTAAAATATACCTGCTTAAGTGGTAATGAACTAGTTATTTCCCTCTTAAATCTTATCTTGGTCGAACCCAATAGTCATGTCCAGTTGTAGTTAACTCTATCCATCTCTTAAACATCTTAAGTCACATGTCTTACTAAACTTAAAGAAACCGTACTCATTCGTTAGTCTTATATGAGTCTTTAAAGAAATCTCATTGTTCACCAGGCAGATTGCAATATATCTCCCAACCGATATTAAACAAATCATATATTCTCGATCTCTCCGGCCATAGCCACCGGTTGGCGTCAGGCCGTCATATCTATTAACGAAAGAACTATCTACAAGAAACTGTGAGGGCGGTCCTAGGAAAAAGATCAAATATGCGTAACCCAATAAAGCAATCGTACAACTACAAGAATAGACCAGGACGCCCTCCCCACTCGGCTCACTCGATTTCCAAGTAACCCGGGCAATAGTGGTAACCTATTTTACTGTCTACCACGAGAAGGCCTCCTCGATAAAGTCGATCGACGAGTTGTACTGCTTGCGACGAATCGCTTGTCTGACCTCATCGCTGAGGGCACCAGGTCCGCAAACCGTTACGCCCATTGTCCCAACTTGCTGCTCTGCCTCCATACCGATTAGGGTCTCGATGTTGGGTCTGCCAGGGAACATTTGGACTGTTGACGAAGGGCTGTGTATTTCCTTCGTCGAGCGTGGCCTACTGACGAATAGCATGATCCGCAACACGTCACGCCGTCTATCCATAGCCAGAATCTCTGTCATCCACGGTCGAATCCATTCGAGATGCTCGGGGCTCTGAATAATCCATACCAACACCACTTTTCGCGTAGCTACCGTGCCATTTGCGAAACCCGTAACAAGGTCTCGGACGTGGGGGACTGCGTGAGTAATACCTACGCCACCAGCAAAAAGCATCACTGTGCCGTAGGAGTGCATCATATGCTCGCCACCATACGGTCCCTCGACGAGACATGTTGTCATAAGTCGGCCATCGGGTTGCGCTGCAGCCCTTTGGTATAAAGTGTGTGTCATTCCTGACCGTCCTCGAATGATGAAGGACATGCTGGTCTTACGCATGGCAAGCACGTCTTGTCGGTTCATAGCCAACTTATCCGAAGTCAACTCCTCAGCCTCCTCGCTCCAAGCCAAAGAGAATGGATGAGACTGCCAGAAACTGATGCTTGGCATATATAGGTATGCATGCTGGCCGGGTTTGAAAGTCCAAGGTCGAGCCATCGTCACCGTCAGACGGACAGCATTGCCAGGGAGCGCCTCAACGAGCGTCTTGGTTCCTCCCCGACCGAGGTTGTGGTAAACAAGGCGCATAACACGGATCAACCTGTCGCCAATCCACAAGGGAATAACCGGAATCAACCACTTGATTGCGGAGAGTTGCTTCAAGTCAAGGTGGTACCAAAGGCCCGCAATCGCAAGCGCAGCGAGACCGATGTGCAGAAGCTTAAAGGTTTCGTAGTACGCGTGTCTAGCAATGCTCGAGGCTTGGAATAATATCACGACGAAAGCAATGGTGGCCTAAGCAATATTAGTAAAGGGATCGCCTCGAACACAAACAGATATAACTTACAAGGAAGCCGTATAGCAGGAACGGCACTGTAACAGTAGTATTCAGTGCCGCTGACCATCCACCAGTTGCAGCCGACGCAGCCAAGAAAGCGAACGTATGGCACACTGCTTCCAACGCTACGATACGGCCAAACCAACGATGCATTAGGTTAAAAGTGTCAAACGACATCCCGAGTAGGGCGATGAGAGGGTTGTTCCTGCTGGCCATAAGAAACAAGGGGATCATGTTGGCAGTAGCTAACGTTCCACTTCGGTTCCTCAGCTGCTTACACGCATCCGTAAAGCTGTCGGCGAAGGGAATGTTAATGACACAAAAGGCAACGTTGGTCGCGAAGTATCCCAGTAAAAAGAGGAATTGGAACCGAGTAGGTAGGGTACCAACATTGATGGCGCTGCTCAGCTGAAATTCTCGGTTATGTCGTTTTCTAAACATGGGAGCATAAAAGAGATTCTTCTTGATCCAGGCGAATTTCGTAGACGGGCGTGCAAAATATCGCTGCGTGTCGTTTGTTAAACTCGTAACGGTTCGGACATACTTTTGTAACCCCGTCGTAATGCGCCATATTATGAGACCCAAAGAGAGAGCGGCACAGACGATTAGTAGATAGTTAGATAAAGATTCGTTTTCCATCGCCGGCGTCCATCCCGCTGCCTGCCCCTCACCAGCTTCTGCATTTCCTTCTCCTCCAGCCATGATGAAAACTGTATTGTTGTTGTTGTTATCGAAAATATACCAGCTAAACTAATCAAAGTTTAGAGTTGAATTGAAATGGGAACCTCGATTCAGAAAATCGGCACCAGTAAAGTAAGGAATGTTGAATGGTCTCAAGAGGTTGGTTAATGAGACCTAGTTGGAGTATGTAATGGCTAAACAAGATCAACTTGAATAACCCGAAGAGGAATAGTGAAGGGCAATAACAGCCTGCTGTCAGTGAGTTTTGTTGAAGGCGGCCTAAGTCGTCTCCAAAGCTGTAGTCTAGGTGACTCAAGGTGAAAAGTCTACCACTTGCCAAGGTCGAGCGGGAAGACGAATACTTAAATGGGTGTGTCTTCAGGGTTGGCCCCCAAGGCGGAAAACAATTGACTAAGAGCCTCGAAGAATGCGACCTAGAAGAATGCCTGTAGAAGGCTTACAAGGGCACTGTTGTAAATGAACGAAGTAGATGACGACGTTACACCCGCCCAGATCTGGTTAAAGAACCAAAAAACTTGTGATGTAGTATGGGTCTATGAAGAAGAAAGGACCAAAAGGATTGAGGCCACGGGGTGTGGAAGAGCTAGAGAGCAGTGCCCATTTGCATGAAATATATGAATGAGGAAGAATAAGGAGGTCAGGGTCAGTCTAATTGAAGGTAAGAATTACTCGTGCAGGGCCTATGTGAACCTAGAATATTCAGGTACGTAGGTACCGACGGAGTACCCGCCCCGGGGCGTTGCTGGATTACGTCGACTAATGCTGGTCTGTTTGCCCTCTAACTATGCGCCAATCATCGCGTCTATCCCCCTGAAAATTAAGCATGGGGAGCGGGAATGGAATGGTGTACATAATTAGGTACAATGGACCCAGATGTTCTTTTCACGACTCAGTTGAAACGTTCAAAATTTTCTCTGCATACAACACACGCGTCCGTATGATATCTCTCAAAGTAATTTCGTACCCCTCTGCTAAGCCCAGATTACATATAAGCAAGTCTTGCCTGGGTAAATGTGGGGTATGGGCCGATAAAGTGCCACCAATGTAAGGTACACACAGAAGGAAAACAGCAGGATTGGCCGAGGACCTGAGCCGATCGAGCAAGGGTTACCCAACCCCGGTACATTAGAACCACATCCCTGCTTTATTTCATCCAGAGATCCAACCGTTTGGCCCATCTATCGCACCTATCTAATCTATCTTCGTTATTTGTTGAAACTGTATATTACGCATGCAGGGTTTAGCTCCCGCTCATACTTTAATTTTGAGGCACGAAAGCTTCTATCACAAATTTGGTGTGCCTCCTCATTCGTTATCCGATCTTAATTCTGCATCGCGGTGGGGAGCATCATGAATCGACAGAACAGTTTTGAAACGAGGCCAGCGCACATTACGGATTAGATGACAGGGATCTACGTGATCGCACCACCAATGACGATTCATAATAGCCTGGCACTGGCCCTTGAATGGGACGGCAAGCGGCTACATACTATGTACCATGTACTATGTAATACATAGTGCATCCGAAAAGCATCTTGGCATCCTAAATTTTCGACACCTTCTCGACTTGTGTGTGCGAGTCAAATCAAACGACTGGCTGTGGCGCATACTAGATTCATCATCATCAAACTCTTCCTCCGAGGACGATCACCACGATTGAATTATCACATCTTTTTGCAGAACATTGCGACATTGTTGCTATGGAATGCGATAACTGAAGAATCACAAAACCCCATCGAGACACCATGTAAAACGGTAGGATACAACAACGGGTGCTTGCGTCATCTGGGCTCACCTCCACTGTGAGAAGTGTAGGTAATACGAAATCTCGATCAAGAAACGCTCTCAATCAAGCCGTTTACGACCTGGTCTGCATCAAAATGCTTAATTCTGACGATGATGATAGGGTCTCACTTGGAATAATTTTGGAATAATTACTTCCAAATCATATTCTTGGACCCACTTCAACATAAAAGTCCGACACACAGTGAGCCTCAAAATGCTTACGCGATTATTAGGTGAAATACATATTTCCCACGTATCTAATAACTAATCTAAGAATAACTACACGACTCTTTCAACCATCACGATACCCAGGAAATATTCCACTAAAGGAACGTCAATTATTCATCCTACATTCCTCGGTATATACCAAATGCCATTTATAGGATCATAGCAGGTACTGAATCTCTGCCTTATCGAAAACGGCGGCGTGGTCCAAGCGATGCCCACTTTCCATCCAAGGTTCAACATATTTAGAAGATATGATACATGGAAGTGGGATGTTTTGCATAAAGACGGAGGGTTCTAGTAAAAAATCGAACAATTCCAGATATAGCAGAGGCCGTGTTTGAGTGTAGTCAAGTTGATACGAGTTGCCCAGTTCAGCCGTTTCAAGTTTCAACAGGCCTCCACCGCATGCCGCAAATGCTGTATTAATCACCCTCGTCGCCTAATCTCTACTATGTAAGGATTACCACATGGGTTATTCCCAGTCGTCCATGGCGTCAATCACTTTACAACGTTATGTACCGCTTGGGACCGGTGGCTTTTACCTATTGCAGCTTTATTAATCTCGAAAATAGGTATTTACAATTATATAGGTATTTATCGATATCATGATTTCTATACCTACTCTCTAACCAAATGCCATCCAGTGGCGCAGCTCCCATTGGAAATGCACGCTCAACCGTAGAATCCTCCGCATCCGCTGGACATAACGCTCATATATTATATTCCCGGGCCTGAAACTCAGTGTATCCAAAGATAGGTTTACAAGATCTACCAGTGGGCTCATACTAGGAATATGATGCTATCTCGTGGTTAATAAAATAGCGAGCCTCACATGCAAAGCTCGTCATCGCTACAATCGTCCCCAGGAATGCCGGAGCTCACTGAACTTGCGAGGCTGGATCTAGATTTTAGCTTGGTGCCAAGCAGGGTCTTTTTGTCAATGCTCCTCCTTGGTTTTTTGCGAACGACATAACCGCTATTTTCCTTATCGGAGCCGAGCTCGTCGTCTAGTGAGAAGTAAGCTGGTTTTGCGGACTGTAATAGAGCGACGATGCTTTTGCTTCGGCGGGGTCCCGTAGCCGCTGGTGGCTTGTCACCCTGGGAACAAGAGTGCGCACGTTTTTTGGTGTTGACGCGTTCGGGACCGGGGTGCTTAGGGCCCTGCACCTCATTATTGCTCTCCGCCCCTGCTATTTCCGGGCCTGGAACACTATCTGCTTCACCATAGGTGTCCACCCCGGGCTGAGTGGCTCTCTGCTCAGCACCGTGTGCTATATGATCTCCATCTAACCTTGACGACGATCGAAGCTGCCTTGCCCTCGGCTGGGGCAGACGTCTAGGGCTGACCGTAACCCACTCGCCTATAGTTTCCTCCCACCGGTAGCCCGTGAAGAGAGGTCGCGCACGAGCGTCATCCCCTGCGGCCGCGTGTTGGTTGCAGGCAAGCTTCTCCGCGTAGATAAAGTCTTTGACGTTATTGGTCTGTTGTGCAAGAGAAAAGGCCGCTATCGTCTTCATGCTATCCAGGATTTCTTGATCGAGTTCGAGGCCCGTAAGTTGTCTGAATAACATGTCTAAACAGTTGTGAGACGCCAGGTTCATTCCTCGACCGCAACTGCGAGCTACTGATGACACAAATGAGGCTATATCGGTAAGACGATGTCTCGTGTGGTTGCTTCTCGCGGAATTATGGTCCGCGTGCTGTCGCCATGCTTGTCCGATACTGTACTTGAGATGAGAACTGATATTATTATCGACTCGAGCATCTCTCGATGAGATGTAGTACGCCAAATGCAACAGGTCATTTCCTAGGCCACACCGCGTATTCTTTGACGGCTCTAGACCAGCCATACACGACCTGAGGATATATCTAAGCCTATTGCCGATGAAGCTTATCTTCACGATTTCAACTTCTGAAACGCTTGCTGTATGGAGTTCTATCTCGCCTAACGAACTCATCGCAGTTAGCATTGTTAAAGCACTAATTAGTGTCTGCTTATTGGCCATGGCAATATCTTTTTCCAGGCGAGTTGTGTCATTTCCTCTTGTAAGGATTTTTCTCCGGCGACACAACAGCGAAACGGAATAATTCATGAAAGCCACGGCTTCGTCAGCTGCCTCCACCACAGACAAGTGCCGAGCAGCCAACGCCCATACGCGTTCGAACTCTTGCGTCGCAAGCCAGTCTTGAGGGAGGCTGCCATCAGATAACAATAGCAGATATTGTCGAAGGAGGAATGAAGTACGGCCATGTTTATTAGCAAAAGTCCATAGAATCGAGAGAGGCCGAAAGCATCCTAGCTCAGCAAAGGAGCTGTCCGCCATAGTTGGTTGAGAGTATCGGCGATAAATTAGCGCTGCGATGAGCTCCTCGGCCTCGGATAACGCGCCGGACCGGATGCATAGATCAATAAGTAATTCTGAGAAGTCGTCACTAAATAGTCCCTCCGAAACTCCTTGCTTCACCGCATTAAGGCCGTCTGCTCGAACTACTATCCGGAGATGTTTCCATCCAAGGGCCTGATTTGATCCAATTGACTCTAGGTAGTTGTATATCTCTGTTGAAGTGCTGACGCCGTCAAGCGTGGAGATACTCCCGCTCTGCTCGGCTTCCATCCTCTCCCAGGCCTCGAGTTCCTCAATATATGAGGGTACTTTTCTAAGACACATGTCGAGGAATGAACGTGGCCCTCGACCTCGACTAGTGACATGCCGCGTTGCCTTCAAGAGCGCTTCTAGACTCTTATAAATTGCCTCCAGGTCATTGTGCCTGTTCGAAGTTGACTGAGCCCGTAAACCTGCGAGGCGTTTCTCAAGGTCCTTATACTGATCTCGTTTGCATCCGACTATGTGCTGTTCAGGTTGCTCCTTGGGGTGATGAAGAATTGTGGGTGATGGGACAACATGGCCTCGTGCGCGTCGTAATAAAGGCGTAGCCGGTACTATCTCACCGGGAACTACGGTTCTTCCCTCGCCGCCCTGGGGACATTTTGTCGTACTCGTTCCCCTTGAATCCTTACCAAGTGTAGATTGTCCATCTTGATTGGGAGATCGCCTCTGAGAATAGGTAAGGCGGATTCTCTTACGCGGTCTTAACCATTCGCAATTAGAACTTTGCTGCTCAGTAGCAACCCTCCTTTCCTGCTCGAGCTCATCGTCCCTGGTGCTTAGTAATGATGCCGCAGCGTCCTTTCTTAGAGAAGCGATCCGCGAAAGTAACGGCCGAAGTAAGCGTTGACAGCGCGCCGCGGTCCAAGGCTGTGATGTCCCTCCTAGCTTTTCTGGCTTAGGCCTTGTCTTATACGGGATCTTGAACTCGTTAAGTGACATGGAGGAAGCTCTAGAAATATTACTAAGCAGATATGTATATGTATGCTTAGTTATGGATGTTTGTTTAAGAGCTCCGGTTTATTGATGGTGATATGAAGCCAGCAGCAGTTCCATGCTCCGCGAACGTTGTCGCCAAAACAATAGCAGTAGACAGAGCAAAAGATATTATCGTGATATTTAATTCATAGAGATGCGATCCAAAAATGTAGCTTTGAGAATGGGACTGTTTAATACGACCAAACGACAAGAATACCAATGCTTTGTCCAATAAGGATGAGATGAAAGAGACTTATAACGGTTTAACGGTTTGTAACCAAACATTGATTTGTTTACTTGATTTCCTAATCAGGAAATACAATACCCACTTTAACTTTCACACAACATTTTGGTGTATTTCTAGAAATAGAATTAAAACTCACAACTCTGATACATGTAGTTTTTGGGATGACCAGACATTTGCCACGACATTTATTAGCAGCTTGGTCCATGGAAAAATAATATTTTTTTAATGGGGAAAAGGGAATGAGATGTTTGCTTTAAATAAAATCAGAGTAATACAGTACATACAGTACAGAGGTACCTTACTTCCCAACGTGCGGGCTTTTTAGTCCCCTAAGACTCAAATTCTAAGCCAATCAAAATGGAGATGGTTACCGTAACACCGCACCCTTTTTTTATTTTATGCGGTGTTACGTGCTAAGAGCATCATGATTAGGGCGGACGGGGAAGCCCCAAATGACCTAACTATCGCCGCAGCTCCGACTTGCCGGGAACAGCCGGGGTTTTTCGAGCCGTCGAAAGAAAAAAAAAATTGAAATCTCTAAATGTTGCTTTGCTTAGCTGCAATAATGCTTCGGCGATTCTTCCTACCTTCTTCAACACATAGTCACCTTTACGGTCTTTGCAAAGTTCAATTGATTTGCGGTTCCCTTTATTAGACCTGTATAATATTTCTCGGACCTTGTTCATTAATACTTTTACAGTTCCCGCGCCGGATTTTCCAAGCTGTGCGTGGGATCTCGTTTGCTATTCTTGTACAAGTAAGAGGATATTATAGATTTGCATCGCAAAACTTCGACGACCCCTCCAACCCCTCTTAATCCTGTTACTGTTGGCCCACAATGTCTGAGAAGCCAGAGGTTGCCGGTGAGTTAAGCGTTTTTTTTTATTCTTTATTTTTTTATGTTAATATATACGTCTGATCTGTGCGAATATAAGTTAACTTTGGTCTCGCGCAGCTCAACCTTCCAACCAGGAAGCCGAAACCCAAAATGGCCAAGCTGAAAATGCTAAAGTTAACTCCAACGACCAGAAAGTTGAGGAGGATGCGGAAGAAGTTGCAGATGGTATGGCTAGAAACTTACCTCCCAGGTAGACGTTGTCATACTAATGCTAATACACGGCATATAGCAATGTATCCTCTGACTATTCATCTGCCCCACGAGCCCGGCAAGATCCATGTGGTGGTAAGTAGATACCCCTGTCTACTATATATGTCTACTATATATGGATTCTATGGCCGGTAATGGCTAATTTTGGTACAGGTCTCGCCTCAAGAGCAAATCCACGAGCTACGACAGTCTATTCTCGAGCTGCCATCTGCTTTCCAATACTCGTGTTTCCACCTCGAGCATGCCGGCGAGCGCATAAATGACTTTGTGCAAATCTCTGACGTGAAGGGACTTGGCCCAGAAGCCGAGATCCGCTTGGTAGAGGACCCCTACACCGAAAAGGAGGCTAGAATACATGTCATCCGAATTCGTGATCTGGTCGGTGCTGCCGGGGATCGGACTGACACCCTACAAGGGGTTCTACCCGGCATCTCCCTCTTCGATTCCGTCACTACTGGTGCCCAGGATACCGACAATGTCCAAGCTAGTGCCTACGACTTCGAAGCTCCCGCGAAGCCTTCAACTCTAATACCAAAAGAGGAAGAGCCCGCCCCTAAGACAGTGAAGTCGATTGCCTTGTCGCCATGGAACCCTCCACCTTACCATCTCAGACAGAAAGGCCATTTGCTGTACCTACTCGTCACTACGAACGAAGGAGAGCAACACCAGATCACCTCGCATGTTGGCGGGTTCTACGTAAACAAGTCGTCAAATAGCAAATTCGACCCCTCGCCCCGCGCTGCTCCTAAGGGTCATTCTGCGCACTCACTATTAACGCTTCTAACTCAGATCTCTCCCTCATTCTCAGAGTCGTTCGAGCAACTACTACAGTACAACAACCGTAAGGACCCTCTCGCCACATTCCAGATGACGAATGCTATCCCTGCGGCACCGTGGCTGGTTCCTTCACCATCCTCGCCTTTATGTGCTCACAGTCCGGATATCACGAGAACTCAGGAGGGCTATCTTATCTCTGGTGTTGATAACACTGATACCCTAAGAGATTGGAACGAAGAATTCCAGTCAGCCCGCGAATTGCCAAAAGAGACGGTTCAAGACCGTGTCTTCCGAGAGCGATTTATTTCTAAGCTCTTTGCTGACTATTCCGATGCTGCTGCCCGAGGTGCTATCTTGGTCGCCCGTGGTGAAGTCACTCCTCTCAACCCGACGGAAGGCCGCGATGCCCAGATCTTTGTCTACAACAACGTGTTCTTCTCTTTTGGAGCTGATGGCGTGGGTACCTTTACTTCTGAGGGTGGCGACGATGCTGCCAGAGTTGCCACAGGAAAGGATGTCAACGGCGTGCGTTTAGTCAACCAGCTTGACATCGATGGGCTGTACAGCCCTGCGACTGTGGTGGTCGACTACCTCGGAAAGAGAATCGTTGGCCAGACTGTCGTCCCAGGTATTTTCAAGCAGAGAGAACCTGGCGAGAATTCCATCGAGTATGGAGCAGTAGAGGGAAAGGAGATCGTTGCGGCCGATGAACGGTTTGCGCCGACTTTTGAAAAGCTTTCGAAGGCCTTAAAAGTGAAGAAGCATCCTGTCTGGGACAAGGATGGCAAGCGATTCGATCTGGAGGCCAGCGTCGAAACCAAGGGGTTGATGGGAACAGACGGCCGTAAATACGTCCTTGACTTGTACCGCATTACGCCCCTAGATGTGTTATGGCTCGAAGAAAATAGCAGCAGCACCGAAGGAGAGAAGAACGAGCTCGAGTATCCCCATCGCATGACTGTCTTGCGACCAGAACTCGTGGAACTGATCCGGAATCAAAAATGGACTGAGTGGGTTAACAAGGAGATGGCTCGTTTAAAGCAACAGTCCCGGTCCGCAGAAGATAAGGCCCAGGAGAAATCCGAGGAGAAGGCTGAGGAGAAGGCTAAGGAGAAGGCTGAGGAGAAGGCTGAGGAGAAGGCTGATGAGACGACTGAAGAGAAGCCTGAGGAGACTGAGAAGAAGAGCACAGACGAAGACAAGGCTAGTGAGTCTAATGATAGCCTTGCAGTAGAACCCGAAGACCCCGAAGACCGAGAACCCGAAGACCGCATTGACGGTTCTGAATTCTACTTCGCACTTAACCCAGATGTCTGCAGCGGACAAGTGCCGCAGACCGAAGCTGAAAAGGAGGAGATGGCTGCCGACGAAGAGGATGTTCGAAATGCCTGCAAATATCTACGCGAGTCAGCAATTCCCGACTTCGTCAACGATATCAAGGCTGCGGATTTGCCTTTCCCCATGGATGGGTTGTCGCTGACCAAGATGATGCATAAGCGCGGAATCAACATGCGATACCTTGGCCAGATTGTCTCTCTCTGCGAAGGACCGAGGCTTTCGCGCCTTCGGGACTTGGCTTTACAGGAGATAATATCGAGAGCATTCAAGCACGTTGCGAGCAAGTACCTGCGGTATTTGCCAATTCCTCTTAGCTCGGCTGGCATTGCCCATCTTCTCAACTGCCTCCTCGGATTTGGCTTTAATAGCAAGCCTACTGCTGAGATAGATGAATCCCTAAAGGCACTTTACCCCGAAGCTGACCTTGCGTTCGCGGATCTTACCCCGGAGAGTCTCCGACAGGAAATTGAAGCGCAGGCCATTCGTCGATTCAAATTCACTTTGGACCCAGACTGGCATAGCCAAATCAAGCACCTGCAGCTCCTCCGCGACGTATCCTTGAAGCTCGGTCTTCAACTTCAGGTGAAGGACTACAAATTCACCAACGAGCCTAGCGCTGCGCCCACTACAAATGGCGTCAACGGCCACGCAACCGGCGACAACAAGAATGACAGTAAGAAGAAAAAGAAGAAGACGAGGGATGGATCCCCGGCTTCCGTTGCTTCCTCTAACAGCACGCCAACCACCTTTACTCCGGATGATATTGTCAACGTCGTCCCGATTATTAAGGACTCCGCGCCGAAGAGTGCAATTTCTGAGGAGGCCTTGGAAGGTGGCCGCCATTCCATTATGCAAAATAACAGGAAGATCGGCCAGGAGTTGTTATTAGAGAGTCTGACTCTTCACGAACAAATCTACGGAGTCCTCCACCCCGAAGTTGCGCGAGCATACTCCACCCTTGCACAGATCTACTATCAGCTCGAGGAGAAGGAGGCTGCTGTCGATTTAGCGAGGAAAGCTGTCGTCGTATCAGAGCGCACTATCGGTGTCGACTCTGCGGAGACGTTGCTCTACTACCTAAACCTTGGGCTCTATGTACATGGATCTGGCGACAGCAAGACAGCTCTTGCATATGTTAAGCATGCGCTTGACCTATGGAAGATCATCTACGGGCCCGACCACCCGGATTCAATCACAACCCTGAATAACGCAGCAGTCATGCTTCAGCATATGCAAGCGTATCACGAATCTCGCATCTGGTTCGAGCAAGCTCTTGCTGTCTGCGAGCGTGTGATGGGTAAGCAGTCTCTCCCAGCTGCTAGTCTCCTCTTCCAGCTTGCGCAGGCGCTCGCGTTGGATAACGAATCCAAGGCTGCCCTCGTTAAGATGCGCGATTGTTACAATATCTTCTTGCAGCAGCTCGGGCCAGAGAATAACAACACCAAGGAGGCAGAGACTTGGTTGGAGCAGCTAACGCAGAACGCCGTCGCAATC